CCTGGGTTCAAGTTCTGACTCTGCCATTTACTGTCTGTGTGACCCTGAGCAAAGTGCCTCATTCCATAAGGGGACAATGTTTATAATAAAGAATACTATTTAAATAAGCTGTTCCAGGTAAAGGACTTAGGTCAGAGCCTGACATAAGCAGGTACATTAGCAGCTGCTGCTGGTTTTATTATTGGCCAGTCGTGCTAGTTCTGTCTCCCTCCTGGGGTACAATCCCTGGAAGAAACGTACAGCAGTAAAGAGCACTTCATTAGTGGCCAGGAGCCCAGGGTTCTGAACCACTTTCTGTTAATAATTCACTGTGTGGGCTCAGAGACATAATGCCCCCAACCCCAACCCATGTCAGCAACGTTCCCGGGTCCCATTGCCCCAATGGTGATTGACATATAACAGTATTTACTGAGCACGTGTGGGCTCTCTATTTTCATAACCAACCGGGCTACTGAGTGGGCTATTTGTTATCTTCATTGTACAAAGTAGGAATTTGAGGCTCAGAGAGGTTAAGGAAAGCATCCGGAGTCACACAGCCAGAAAAACACAGCATTGAGGTCTGAACTCAGGGAGTCTGGCTCCTAGCCAGGGGCTGCAGAGCTGAGCTGGAGCAAAATTACAGCCTTGATTGAGATCCTGTTCAGAGTCAGTCTGTCACCACCCTGTGGGGTGGGGAGTAAGGACAAGAGACCCAGCATCCCTTCCTTCCCGACAGCCAGGCCTCCAGAGGATTCTCGCACAGAAAGATAAAGAAGTGACCGCAATAGAGCACTTTAATGCCAGGAAGTCAAACTACCCCGACAAAAGGCCCCTTTGTCATTAAGCGAACATGCAAACCCTCATCCTTAGTTTCTTCAGTGTCTCCAGACCCAGGGACATTTGTCTTATCAGGTAATGGAATTGTTTTTAGTGGCAAGAGTGAGCTCATTATGGATGCAGCTTGTGCTAATAATGATAATGTGCTCTGCAGTAAAACCACCTCTCCGCCTCCCCGGACAGACGACGCTCCAGAAATTACAGGCTAGGAGGAAACGGCGAGAGTCAAGATTAAGGAAAAGAATTGCAGCTTCCACCAAAGGGGCTACAGATTTGCACATTGAAATTGGTGATCTGAATCATGAAGTTGTAGAAGAATGAGATACTACGAAAACCATTTTTAATGGCCTTCATTCAGGTTTGTTACCTCTGTCACTGCGTTGCTGTTTTTTGCATTCGTTTTACAGTTCAAGCCAGTTTTCAAAGGCAGTGCCAACTGGATTAGTGGGTGACAAACACCGATGCGCAATATGATCCCATGGATGAGATCAAGACGAGAGCTCCTTGCAGGGAATCGTTTCAATCCTGGCCCCCCTTAATTTCATGGGTGAAGAGCTCAATAACCTTGAGTCCAGAGCTGTCATCTACAAATTCTATGGGTTTGGGAGAGGTGGCCAGGCCGACAAGGCTTCCGCCTCTCTCATTTCTGAGGGGGCCAGCAGAGCTGAGGCAGGCTGGACTACCAGCCCAGGCAGGTGACTCATCTATCTCCTCCTGTCCTTTCCAGACAGAGGCGGGATGGGAGGGGGAGGGGGTACAGAGGGTCATTCTCCCATTCTCCCAGGGTTTTTATTTTATTTTATTATTTTATTTTATTTTATTTTATTCTATTCTATTCTATTCTATTTCAATTTGCCAACATATAACCCCCAGTGCTCATCACATCACCTGCCCTCCTTAATGCCTGTCACCCGGATACCCCATTCCCCCACCCACCTCCCCTCCAGCCACCCTCTCTTTGTTTCCCAGAATCAAGAGTCTCTCAAGGTTTGTCTTCCTCACTATTTTTCCCCATTCAGTTCTGCCCCCTTCCCTTGTGGTCCCTTGTACTATTTCTTATATTCCACATATGAGTGAGACCATATGATAAGTGTCATTCTTTGATTGACTTATTTCGCTTAGCATTATACCCGTAGGAACGCAAGCTCCCAGGGTTCTAAGAAAGTTGGAAAAAGTCTTAACTATATTCACTGAGGTTTGTCCCAACCCTTTGAACAAGATGCCAGCTACCTTTTCTTGAGACGTGGCTTTTTTCCTCTAAACATACAATCTCAAGAAGATTAAAATATCTAAAGATTTTTTAAAGTAACATTTTTGCATTATTATGAAGCAATACCTATTGGCTGCGGAAAAATGGAAAGCACACAAACAATAAAAATAACTCATGATATACCATCATCCAAATAACCTTCGGTAGCACTATGGGCTAGCATCCTCTCCCTTCCCCCAACTGTTTTACAAATGAAAAACAAGATCATATTGTGTGTGTGCGTATACACATGGGTTTGCTGTCATCGTACAGTTTTATGCCTGTTTTTCATGTCCTATATTATGAATAATTGTCCATAACAGTATTCTATTATTTTTTAGTGATGGGATAGACTGTATTCCCAAGTCCTGTGAGGTTTGGGTTGCTGCTTTCTTTTGTATGACAGTCACCCTGTACCTACATCCTTGGTTGTCTCCCTGAATGAGGAAACGTATCTGTGTCAGGCCCCTCTGGCTGGCTGGTGAAATATGCAGGCCTCTTCTCACAATAAATGTATTTAAATGCAGGAAGCAAAATACATGACATTACAAGGGAAACTAATTATATTGAAATATGATCAAAGTATTAAACAGGACAAATTTGTGAACTAACCATGTGTTTCTTTATACATAGATTGAACAACAATATGTTAGAGTGTAGGTATAGTAGCTTTAATAACATAATTATGAAGTAGTGATCAACACTAATATTATTCTAAGCTGTGTGCAACAAATGTCAGATGATATGAACTGATCCGTGGCTTCTATTAGGCCAAGGTGACAGGTATGGCTATGGTTTGTCACACAAATAAAGTGAATACTGAATCACGCTTGGAGGTTCATAAAAATGAATACGTAACTTTTTTCTTATCAAAGTTCTTTATGTTCAGCAGAGTTAAAGATCTGACACCTGATCTTTCTGCCCAGAGAACCCTGGTGAACATTCCCATGCTGGGCAAGACTCTCAGGAGTAGAGTGCTATATATTTTGGCTCTGCCCATTTCTGAGCCTTTTGATGCCTCCAATGGTCTCGCTGCTCTGGGAGCTGCATTTAATGTTCTCTGAGTGCCAGTAGATACAGAGCGAGGTGAGAGAGAGTGCCTGTTAGTGGCAACAGGTTAGCTAGTGCTATGGGTTGAATTGTGTCTCCATAAAGTGTTATGTTGAGGTCCGAACCCCCCGGTACCTCAGACTATGACTTCTTTGGAAAGAGGCTCATTGTAGGTGTCATTAGCCATGTTTAGACAAGCTCATCCTAGAAAACAGTGGACCCTAATCCGGTGTGACTGCCATCCTTAAAAGAAGACAGGCATGTGAAGACACAGACACAAAGGGACGCCATGTGACCATAAAGACAGAGATTGTAGTTAGGCACCAAGGAAGGCCAAGGAGCTGGAAAGAGGCAAGGAAGGATTCTCACCCTAAGGTTTCAGAGGAAGCATGGTCCTATTAACACCCTGAATTTGGATTTCTAGCTCCCAGAACTGTGAGGCAATAAACTTCTATTGCCTTATGGCATCCAGTTCGAGGTACTGTTACAGTGGCCCTGTGAAACAAATACATCTCGTGTCTGCCCATTGGGATCTCCTGAGAAGTGGGATTCTGAAACACCAGGGCTGGATGGGCATGGCTCCGTGCCAGTGTTGGGAATCACCACATCAGGGACCGCTGGTTAGAGGGCTGGCTAGGGCTTCAGTAGAAGCCTGATCTAGGTGCACAACACTACCTCAAAGTAAGCAGGAGATGGGCCTCACCTTGGCTCTTCTCAAGGTCAACATAATGTGTAGAAACCACATCCCCCCATAGAAACCTTCAGCATGCAAGCAGTAACCTCTTTATTCCCACACAACAATAAAAGGTCTTTATCATCAATGACACGCTATTGCCAAAAAGACAGGGTGCAGGTGGCAGTTGAAAGGATTCTTAGGTTTTGAAATTTCCCTAGCGCCTGTTGGGTGTGGGTGAGGGGCTGGTTCTCATTGAAGAACAGTGAGTTTCTGAGTCCCCCTTTGAGGTCACCTCTTCTTGGGAGGCTGTCTGCGTCAGCTTTCTGCATACTTTGCTGAGGACAGTGGCTCTAGATAAATCTTCCCGTTGCATGACGTATTTGACCTCTGCCTACAGCCACGTGTCACCAGAAGTCTGGGGTCCTCTGTCAGGGGTCTTCTATGGGCCAGACAGCTACTACCTGGAAGAGAAACCACCCTAACCAACTGTAGGCAGATGGCTCAGCTAAGCAGAGAGGCTATACACACATATCATCCCGTTTTTAAAAGTAGTAGGAAGGAAAAGAAAGAGTACTCCCTTACCTGGGTTAGAAAAATCCAGATATTTGGGCAGCAGCCCTTCATGTTGCAAAACTTTTGGAGAAGGGGCAGAAGGAAGTTGTGTGGACCCATCTGCATATATTCTAAAAAACAAAAGTCATAGACTTACTCCTTTTTTTAATAGAAAGAAAGAAGAAAAAAAAAGAAAGAAAAATATAATCTATGTAGGTCCTGTGTGAGCACAGCAGGTTTCTTTCTAATCCTAACAATTTATCCTAAATTTAAGGCATTATCACATCTCCCTTTCGTGGAAGGGAAAACTGAGGCCAAAGAGCTGCCCTCTGTGGTGCTAAATGCCATCCTCAGCGCCTTCAGGCCTTAGGACTGAGGCCCTGTTGGTTTTTTACTCCCGGCCTCTCCCTGCAAACCAGCACAGACTACAAGCAAGTCTTCTGGAGAATGCTGGATGGGATGTGGAGGGAGGATGGGGAGGGCGGATGGCTGCAACTACAGGCCTGACAGGCCTGCAACTACAAACAAGGCCTCTTCTGTGCAACAAAACCATAAAGGCAGCCCTAGAGCTGGGATGGGGCATCTGTAAACCCCCTGGGGCCCAGTATCAGCTCTCGTCCTGGTTCTGGTCCCCCATGGCTGCACCCTAAGCTGGACTTACTTGTATGACTTCAGGTGTGCCCCCTTGGACTGCTCCATGAGGTCCAGGAAGTCCTGGTAGCAGTTTCTGGCCATGACAGAATACCGTGTAGCGCAGCCTAATTCGGTGACCTTGGCTCTCGGGAGGTAGCCAGCCCAGCCAGGGATCGGGGGCTCCTGGAGAGGTTTCTTTATGTATTTGTGTTCTGTCAAAAGATACAGTGCTTGCTGAGGCCTTTGGGAAGCCACACAGGGGGTGATGCTCCCCAGTTAGCCGGCACCCCAAGTTACCCCAGGCAAACCCCAGGCCTCTAGATGCCCTGAGAGCAGCAACCATGGGTTGGTTGGTTCTGTGCTCTGGGCACGTTGGCAGGGACTTTACAAATACCCTCTGATTTCATGCGCTCACAAACTGTGAGAAGTTGACACCATTATTACCTACACCTTACAGAGCAAGATGGGGAAATTTAAAGAGGTTAAGAGAGTCTTGGCCAAGGTCACACGGCAAGGAAGTGGTAGGGCCAGGCTTCAAACCTGCATCTGTCTGAGTCTGAAGCTCTTTCTCTTTAACAGACCCTGCTCCTCTTTCAGACTAATAAAAAAAGCTTCACACATTGCTCTTTCACAGTTTACATAAAGGAAGCAGGAGAAGCATCCAGGTGGGAAGAAAACACATCACACACAGCACCAGGAATCTGCTTTCAGGTCATGAATGACTCTGGCTGGCTGACCCGGGGCATTGTCACATTTGGGAGATGAAAGACTCCTGCCAGCTGCTGTCAGAATAGAATGAGGCCACCGAGTCCCAGAACCTCAGAGCTGGAAGACGCAGGTAGGGAGCATCTAGTTCATCCTTCCCTGCCCTGGATGAAGGAACGACAACCCAGAGAGGGGAAGCCATGTGCCCTAGTCACACAGCAAATAGTCAGAGTTGGGCTAAATCTCAAACTCTTAGGCAGATGTTCTGTGTTATGGCTCAGAAAACTTTAAAGCCCAACAAACGTGTGAGTTAGCCACCCCAAACAATTACAGGAATAATAATAGAGACAATTCTCTTCCTATATACCTTTAGACCTTAAAAAAAAAAAAACAAAAAAAAAAAACCCACAAAAAACAGGGACACCTGGGTGGCTCAGGGGTTGAGCATCCACCCTTCCCTCAGGTCGTGACCCTGGGGTCCTGGATTGAGTCGCTCATCGGGCTCCCCACAGGGAGCCTGCCTCTCCCTCTGCCTGTATCTCTGCCTCTCTCAGTGTCTCTCCTGAATAAATAAATAAAATCTTAAAAAAAAACAAACAAAAACAAAATGGTCCAGGGCAAATCATCCTTGTAATTAGCATTATAGAATCACATCATCAGTTGTTTTTTGTCATTGGTGTTGTGGCTGTTAGTGGTTGTCATTCAATGCCTGAGGTTCCAGCCGAGGTCTGACCTCAGACAAGGGCCACTACCTCTGCAGACTCATGAACCCCATCTCTAAAATGGAAATAATGGTGCCTGGCACAGAGAAAGCAACCACAAAGTGCACAGACCATGGCAGCAGGTGAGGTATGGACGTTCCTGGTGACTTGAGGGGCTGGGAGTGGGAGAGGGGTCTCAGTTTGCAACACCCTCTTGCCTGACCAGGGCCGTGTCCCTCTCCCCCTGGAAATGTTTCTTTCTCATTGCATGAACCCAAGCCTCTGGGACCTGTTGCACATCGCCCGGGGATCTGGACCTTGGAGGGGGGCTGGAGTCTGTGCTCCCTGGGGCGGCTCAGTAGGCCCACCCCGCCTGCACTTGGACCCCAGGAGGAGGGGACTGGTTTCCTGGGGGCCGGTACCCAGACTCAGGGGGTGGTACTGCCGGAGGTACTGGTGCAGGGCACGCAGGACGGTCTCCTCCGAGCAGACGGGCTTCAGCTTCTGGGCAGTGGCCACCGAGCAGCGAAATTCCTCCAGCTGGTTTTTATATCGCCGAGTGTTGTCCTGGAAGATTTTCAGACAGTGGGACATATTGTCCTTGCTGGTGGCTTGCTGGCAGCTAAGGTAGGGCACAAAGCCTGCAAGAGCCGACAAATCACAGGCGGTCAGAACCTGCAGAAGCTCCCCAGAACCTCAGCCCACTACTTGGCATTTCTTCCTTGGCCCACAACACTGCATTTTTCCAAAGGCCATGAATACAAGCAGGGCTGTTGTTTGCATGGCGGTGCTGGGCCCTCCCAAGGCCATGAAAAGTGACCTTGGAGCTGGGGAGGGAAGGCCCATTTCAACAAAGACGATGACAGTAATATTCTTTGATAGCAAAGCCCCTGATGTCAGTCTGAACAGCAAATGGGGAAAGCATTTAATGGGCCAAAATGATAGTCTGAGGAGTAATTGAAATTATTCATCTTTTTAGAGAGAAAGCTTATTTTCCTTGACACTTCCCAAATGCAATTTGGGATCTTTTTTGTCGGACCATCGGGAAATTGCGGGCTTATTAAAAGCTGAGACCTATTACACAAAAAAAGGTAAATTCATTATCTGTGAGGCCCACCCCCTAGAACAATTTTTTACCATTTCCCACAAAATAACATATAATCATTACAATTAGTATGGGTAAAACACAAGTATTTATTTAAACTAGATGCTGAATCCCAGGGACTATACTATTGTCACAATAAAACTATTTTTTGAAAGAACAAATGAGGAAAAACTGGTTAAGAACTTGGTTTTCAATGGCTAAATAAATAAATACCTCCCGCTCATTATGGAAGCCCAACATTTTGCCTTTCTCCCTAAAGAAAATCTGACTGCAGAGTTAAAAGCAGCAACCCTGCCTCCCACGCCCTGCAAGAAGCCACTTCTGGAAGAATCTAATTACTAGACTGTTCTTGGAGCCCTCCACCCACCAACCAGTCTCCTCAACCCTGGGGCAATTAAAAGATACCCTCGTGTTGCGGCGGGCGAAGATGGTAGAAACAGAGGGGCCTGCCACCAGGACCTACCTTGGCCTGGTTGGGTTTTATGTAACTGTATATATGTACACACACATAGGAATACAAGCTACCTTCACTGAGTCTTACTAAGGACCAGGACTAATTTTAGGAGAAATCTATCATTATCCTGCAGAGAGGTTTGAAACTATGTCTCCCAAATAGACAAGTCCAAGTCCTAACCCTTGGGACCCATGAATGTGACCTTGCCTGGAAATAGGGTCTTTGCAGACGTCTTCAAGGATTTGGAAATGAGATTATCCTTGACTGAGGATGAGCCCCAAATCTAACCATCTCTGCCTTGGTCCACTTGGTCCACTGTCTATGTCTGGCCAGCTGGCTGGGCCAGTACAGGTATGTTAGCTTTTTAGGACACTTGTTGAAAGCACTCCGTTATAAGAGAAGGGAGAGGGGGACCTGAGAAAGAGACACAGAGATGCAGGGCAGAAGGCCACACAAACAGTCATGTGAAGACAGCGGCAGAGATTGCAGCCATGCTGCCACGAGAAACTGGAAGAGGTGAGAAAGGACCCTCCGCTAGAGCCTTTGGAGAGGGCAGGGTCCTACCAACACCTGGATTTCGCCTCCAGAACTGAGGCTGTTGTTTTGAATGTCTGTTGTTTTAAACTGCAGCCCTAAGAGACTAATACCCCCATTTAATAGACATTTTTACTTACCACAGAAAGTACCCTACACCGTGGCCAAGCAGGGTGTTAGAACCTCAGTTTGTTAGAACTCAGAACCTGTTCTCTTAACCAGCCAGAAGGACCAGGGAGGGGTGAGGCTGGGCAACCTTGGAGTATTCCCCATGCATCTCCTCTCCTAAGAACACCTTATGTGAGAGCTGAGGGCCCATGAAGACCACTGGATTTGTCACAGAGATGTGACTAAGTTCTCAGTAGCCCAGAAGCCCAAGGAGGAGAACCTTTAGGTAGGGTGACCAGCTATCCCTGTTTGCCAAGGACTTAGGGGCTTCCTGGGGCTGAGGGCTTTCAGTGCCAAAATCAGGGCCATTCCAGACAAACCAGGGCACTTGATCACTCTCCCTCTCGGGGACACAGGAATGGGACCATACAAACAGCCCTAGTGCAAGACCTGAGAAAGCTCAACTTGGGAAAAATGACAGGGCCTTATTATTTATTGCGTCTATCCCCATAGCACTGTGTCCATCTTGGTCCAAATATGCTGAAAAGACATGAAGAGCTTCCTGCACACCAGGCCACGTCCTGGGAGATCTGGCCTGTTACATCGTTCCATTCATCAGAACTCAGTTATCAGCCATCTTCAGCAAGGGAGCGCTTTCAACAAGTGTCTTAAAAAGCCAGAGTGCCAATACTGGCCCAGTAGGCCAGAAAGACACGGACGGTGGACCAAGGCAGGGACAGTGACCAGGACCGTGGATCTCCCGTCATGCACATCTGCAGGGCACATCACCACTTACCACTGTAGCCTGGTGTGATTGGCAGATGTCTCATGAAGGTCTTGGAAGACTCCATGATTTCACTTGCTGTTAATGAAGGGAAGAGGGGATGAAATTACCTTATCAAATGTCCCTGCCTCAAGAACTCACTATGCGTGGGCTAGAGCCCTTGGGATTCGAAGGAGCCTACCAGGGGGTTCGAAGGAGCCTACAGAGAGGCAGCACCACCATCTTAACACAGAACCAGCAGACATAGTTGGCGTCAGTTATAAAACCAATGGCCCAATACCAAGGATCGCTCACCTTTTACATGAACTTAGAATAACAGGTGTGCAGATCACCACCCATGAGCGTCTCCCCTCCTGCGACTCCTCCATCCACCCAACTTTCCACTCAACCTTCCATGCATCCAGCCAGCAATCATGAACTGTATACACACTGTGGTCAACAACTGTGAGGAGGTGAGGAACGTAAAAATGAGCGGGACCCAGGAGCCCCTGTGTGAAGCCCCTGAACCTCAGAAGAGGGAAGAGATGAAGCATCTGCACCCCCAGAGCCTTTCTTTTCCCACCAGGAAAAGGTTGCACTGGTGTCCCCACCCCCCACCACCACCCTCAGGACACCTGGCAGTGTCCAGAGACATTTTTGGTTGTCACGACCAGGGGATGGGGTGCTACCGGTATCTAGGGAGCCAGAGGCCAAGGATTCTGCTAAACATCCTACAACACACAGGGCAGCCCCACGACAGAGAATTAGAATAAGTTATGGCTGGAAGGGCTCAGAAGTCCCCAAAGGATGCTGCCTCCCCACTTCCAGGATGGCTAATGGTCCCAGCAAAGGGGCCAGGGCCTGCATCTGGGCATCTGTTGGTGCTGCCAAATGCTACACTACCAAGCCAGTTCATCTCTCAAAAGTAAGTCCTTAGCGGCCAGAACAGGTGGTCTCAGGGGTGGCGGGGAGGGCCACAGTGGTGTTTACTCAGCGGTGATGGGAATCTTTTTTTTTTTTTTTTTTTTATGATAGTCACACCGAGAGAGAGAGAGAGAGAGAGAGAGAGAGAGAGAGAGAGGCAGAGACACAGGCAGAGGGAGAAGCAGGCTCCATGCACCGGGAGCCCGACGTGGGATTCGATCCCGGGTCTCCAGGATCGGGCCCTGGGCCAAAGGCAGGCGCTAAACCGCTGCGCCACCCAGGGATCCCGGTGATGGGAATCTTGAACACCCTCACACACGTACAGGACCCTTGCTAGGACGCAGCTGATGCAGGACTACCTGTCTTGGTAAATCCTCACAGCCGCCCTAAGGCTTAGCTCCCATTTGAGCCCTCCACTTATGGAAGAGAAAAATAAGGCACAGACAGGCTAAGTAACTCGTCTGAGGGCTGTCCCATTCAAGGAGGCAAGCACTGAGGACATCTAAATTCGGACGGCAGGCTTATGTTACCCAAAAGCGTGGCCCTAGGGAGAGGCCTGTATCGGTGCGGTGGGTGGCAGCCTGGGCGGCTGCCTGGAGGAGGTAGAATCCAGGAGTAAGGTGCAGAGGGGGTGTGCTGGGGGTGGGACCCCGGAGGGGCCGAAAAGCGCGGCCACAGCCCCCACTCCCAGGGGGGCGTCCTCACCTCTGCGGCCTCCAGTCCCCCAGCCCTCCCAGCCCTCCCAGTCCTCCCAGCCCACCAGCCTCCGCAGCCTTTGTGCGCTCACCGTCCTGGGGGAGGGGCGGGGAGAGGAGCGAGGAGGGGCCTGACGCCCCGCTGCCCCTCCCCCACCGCGACCAGGGCGCTTGGGTGAACCCCAGTGGATGTGGGGGCGTGGGCCTGTTCAGTGATTTGCCCAACAAATATTTGGCCTCTGCAGCTGTTCTCCACACGTGGTCCCCCCGCTGGGCCCCCCTGGGTTTTGGAACCGGGGGGAGAGCGACGTGAGGGGATCTAGGTCAAAGCTGCCTCTTCTGCGGGTACACACTGGCGCTGCCTGGATTTGGATCGGAGGAGGGTTGGCCACTGGCCACAGGCCTTCTTGCGGGGAGTCAGGGCTGTGGGAGGGGCTGGCCTGGGGAAGGGGGGGCAGCAAGCAGCCTGGGATGGGCTGGAGAGGGGCAGTGCACCAAAATGAAGAGGGGGAGGGTGCCAGGAAGTGGAGCCCTACTCCTTTCTAATCATCCTCATTTTCTGGGAGCTAAAGGGGGCCTGAGCCTTCATCTCCCTGGATTCAAACCAAGATGCCCACTGTGTGACCCGGGCAGAGGGAATGAGGGCCTTTCAAGGCTGCTAGTCCCAGTGGGGCCCTATATCTACAAAAACCTGTAACAGCTGACCACCCAAGGGCACTATTTCCCGGTAGGTGTGTTTCACTGCATCTCCCGGCCTTACCTACCTGACTTCCTGGGAGTTCAGCCTCAGATGAAGGCTAGTGAACTACTCACTTAGGAGGAACCCATTTGTACCCCCCTCAGAGCCCCAGGACTCCATCACAGATTCTGGAAGCTTCTAAAGCGAGCTCTGGAACACTCTTGAGGCTCTAGGTGCAGCAGGCAGCCTGGCCTGCCTGCTAGGATACTCGGGCAAGGTACCAGTCCTGGGCCCTTCCGCTTTGTTTTCAATGACCTGCATGTACTTGGGTGCCGTGGAGTTGTCAGTGGCCACCCCGGCTCACCTGCCTTCTGTCTGGCTAGAAGCCACTTTCTGTAGCTTGGAGGGGAAAGGGACTCATAAATACGGATGGAATCCTGGTTCCCAGCAAACAGAGGAGCCAGTCTTGTTGGAATGAAAGTTAACATTTTTTTAAAAAGCTTGCTTGCAACATTTAGGAAAAAAACCTAAAAGTCTGTCTCCCTCTGAGCGAGATGGAGCTGAGGGGGAAGTCAGCAATGATGCATCCGCGATTCCGTTCACAGATTCATACCGAAAAAAAAAAAAAAAAAAGTTGGGCCACACGAGATCCAGAGTTTCGCTTTATTAGACATCTGTGAAGACAGAGTTTGCGAGTACAATCTCGTCAAGTTGTGAACAGCTGCAAAGTTCGGTGGAGTGTGAGTTTATCTTGTAGTGAACAAGACCCCAATGGCTGATACTTTAGAATAAAGTTCCATGTTCCAAGCGGATGAGAGGTGTGACGTAACGGACAACGACTTTTATACTAGTCATCCACTTAGTCATTTCCCAGCGTAAATATGCAGCTTACAGCTACTTCATCTCTACATGTGAAGTTCGATCTTCGACTAATAATGCATTTGGACTCCTGCTTATATTGATGCATGCGATTCTTTGCCACCCTGGCAATTAACCAGACCTAGACTCTAAAAGCTAAACTTGATCTAAATAACATCCTAGGGGGCGGGCAGGCTCTGCAATCTGGACTCAGTCTTAGTCATCATGTTGTGCAAGTGCCTATGTGTCGCCTTCTCTTGCCTATCTTGTCTTTCTGTAACTTGTCTGTTTTTCAGCATTTATTGACGCCTGCTGTGTACAGACAGGGCAGTTCTAAAGGCAGTCCTCCCTGACAATTCTGCCTCCAAAACAATGAATAATAATATCCCAGGGACGGTTGAGTAATGGTCAAGACAACAGGCTTTTTAGAAACTTCCTAAGATTAGAAAATGTGTCCGAGTATATTTATTCAGTGTTCTCATTCTAGAATATTTCTGTGGGCAGAGAGAGAGAGAGGAGGGATGGATTGGGGGATTCCCTTTAAGAATCAGCTATTGGGGCTGCATTTCTGGGGCCAGAAGAAAGTCCAGTAAAGCTATCACTCCCTCTCCATCATGGGTTTGCCAACAGTGCAGAAGTCAACCAATTTGCTAAAGAGAAATCGCAGGCAAGGAGACATCCTCAGTGCAAGGTGGGAAAAGCCTTACATTAGCAAAAAAAAAAAAAAAACGACTAAATTACTCACACTACACTTAATCGAGTGGAACAGCTGGAATCTGCATACCCCTCGATTCCTTCCTGGAACCCTGTTGTCAACACTGCAGACAGACCACACTTGGCCCTCAGAGGGACCGCTCTGCCCCACAAGAAGCAGCTGACAGCCCTGCAGGGCCGCAAAGAGTTTTCCTGCACAGTCACGTGGCTTACAGAATAGCCAGGATGTTCAGCTCTCAAAGACGGGACAGGAGAACCGACACATGATTACACTCCCTTCAATATAAACTGTGAGCCTTTGGGAAGGATGTGAGTGAAGCAAGGTCTGACGAAGCTGGCGATCCAGCTGTTGTCCCTTTGTTTTCCAGAGTATGGGGAGCCTGGGCACCTCTGACTCTTGCTCAGCCTCGCATACATAGTCCGTAAGCTTGGTATCAGTACAAATAGGTAAGTAAGCGCAATTAAAAAATGAAGCCATGGGAAATCAAAGGCAACAATGTCATCAACAAAATTCAAAGTGCGTTTTCCCTTTGTTGTTGTTGTTTAACAAGTAAAGCAGCACATTGTAGAAATAAAGATTCTGTACAATATTCTAATATCGTATGTACATAAAATTATATTACTTATAACTAAGTTGAGAAGTCTTATTTGCAGAATATGGCTGGCAACACCAAAGAGAGATCCAAGAACATTTATAGCTTTTGAAGCAGAGCAGGCAAGAGAACCAGAACCCTAGCAAGCACACCTTTGTGCCTGGACACGCAATCCTGAGGCCAAGTTAACGTGACTAGCGTTCTAGCATTCTCTGGGTCAGGGGTTTGTTCGTGCTTCACATTCGAGCAGGGAATTCTGCAGCAGGCGGTGTGAAAAGACATGTGCAAATGAAACTGGAAATGCTTTTTCGAATCTGCATATCTGGCTATGGGAATGGGTTTGTGAATCCAGCTTGCCCTGAAGTTAGCTCCTTAGCTCATCTTCCCTTCATTCATTATGCATGCCTCCAGGGATTTAAAATCTTTAAAATCGAAATGAGTTCCAGCAGACACACCAGTTGGTTCCTCACCTCATTCTTACCGGGGTGTCTTTCTTCCAACTTGTCTCCTTCACAGGCCATGTCCCCAAGCCAGGTGGAGCCCAGGCCCCACTTGCAGAGGGCAGGGTGTGGGACTCTGGCTCTTCGCTAGAAAAATCCTCTCCCTAAGGGAGCCCCAAACAGGAAGACTGCAGGCGCTGGTCGCTGGTCTGTGCCTCAGCTTCCAACAAAACCTAAAGTTAGTTCTCAGATTCCCTTGGAGCCACAGTCCTCTGTGGTGTCTACTGAAAATGCAAATGCTGGTCGCCCTCCCCGAGACTCAGCTTCAATTTTTAAGAGGGACAGCATCCAGAAACCTGTTTTTAAGAGGTACCCAGGCAGTGCTGACGAGAGGGATCCACAGATCAGCTTTGAGAAGACCTGGCTTAACTCATTGAGTACAGATCTATGAATTCCTTTCAGATACGCTTTAAAAACGGAAGATTTTAATGAAACATTTCATCGTACAGATTCTCTATCCATGTGTAACCAATGTATTCTTTTTGAAATGTGGGAGTGCTGGCCAAAACTCTCTGAGAGATGAGGATGAGGAGGGAGTTAAGTTACGTACCCTTGTCAGGGTGAGGGGCTGTTCCAGACTCCTGGGCTTGCTGATGCGAATAAACCGCAAGCCCATTTCCTCACGCAGAAGCCCACTAAACTTGGCTTGAATTATTTATGAATTCAGAAATCAGGATCTAGCATCTGGAGAAAGATGCCACACAGCATATGATTTGGTATAAGTCAGCAGTGCCTGACTATCCATTTCCCTCGAAGCAAGCTTTCGCTGCCGAAAAGCTAAGGTGTCAGCTCTCCCACTCACTCAAATCCTAGTAGATTAGCTCAGGCTATCGTTACTCCTCCCTGAACCTATTCAGAATTGAAATTATGAGACCCTAAAATAGTGCCCAGCAGGGCCAGTCCTCTCCCACCAGCTGAAAATGCTCCCAGTTTCGTGAATCATCGCTTTTAATCACATGATGATGAAAAGCAATTAACTGCAGATGGACAGCATTCTGGGTCGACTGCCATCCACAAAATGTAAAAAGAAAAGTCTCAAATAGATGAAGAATCTCCTCTTGGCTCAAAGATCTCATTTCAAATCTAGAAAGATAGCAATAGGGCCTCCTACGTTCTACCTAACGGAGATCCTTGCAAATGAGGCTGAATCACTGCTGCAGAAACAGACTGATTCCCTTGTGCGGGTGGGTGTGTTTCACCACTCTGTACCTGTGAAAACTAGCTGCTCTTCCAGGATCCTCAGCTTTCTCATCCCCAAACCTCAACCTCAATTTCTAACAGTTTTTCTGACTCCAGTGTGCCCTCGAAAATCCCTAATTATTTCTAGCCCTAGTTGTTCCCATCTTCCCTGCTGAAATTCAGGTGAGCAATGCTGAGGGTCAAGGACAAGGAGGAAAGGACAGTCAAGGGGTAGGGGGGAGGTCCGCAGATGCAGGTGAGCTTAGTCCAAGGGGGCAGGCGGCGGGGTGGGCCGGTTAGTAATTTAAGAAGTCAATCCCAACCTTGACACTCTTGGCGGTGGCTATATCGACGGCCGTGGCCTTGATCTCTGTGTCCCCAAACTGCATGAGGGTCTGGATCTCCCTCCGGGCGGGCACGGCCGTGCCGCTGGTCCCTGTGAGATCCAGGCGGAGCGTGCCACACTTCTTCACCCCCGGGTCGGTGATGAAGCTCACGTCGTCGCACTCGGAGCTGTAGATGTTGATGACGATGACCAGCTGGGAAGGCTTGGCCGGGGTGTAGCTACGCTTCACCAGCTCCCCCAGGGCCACCGACTGGTCAGCAGAAATGAACTTATCAAACACATCAGTGCACCAGCGAGTCCCATCCTTCACCAGAAGCTTCTCAGGAGGATGCTTGCCCTCCACGTAGCGGTTCAGCACGCCCACCCCGTAGGTGAGTGGTGATCGGCGCACCTTGATGACCGCGGGGTCCAGGCCGAAGAGGACCGCGCCCTTGAGGATAGTGAGGCCCACGTCCTGGGGGATGATGATGCGGCACTTGTCGCCGAAGGCGGCCTGAACTGCCTGCTGCAGGAGGGGCGCCTCCGCAAAGCCTCCCACCAGGAAGAGGAACTTGACAGTGGACACCTCGGGCTTCTGAAACAGGTCCCCTGAAAACAAAGAGTAAGGGACAATGTGCTGTCACCAAAAGCCACACCACCAAGGGAGACTGGTGGCCCAAGAGCGTGGGGAACACAGACCAAACCACTTGGGCCCGCTGAGGGGGCAGATGTGGCTATGCTGGTTGGACAGAATTTTTGTACAGCTGGTCTTTGAAAGAGAGGGGTTTGCACACTAATATGCTCAAGAAGTGAACACCAAAGCTCTTGGTCAGTAGAAACTCATTTTTACAGCTAGATGGTGATGGTTTTCACTAGTAATTTGTTAGGCATAAATGAATACTCCTAACCTTCTCCAAGCCTGTGGTCCTGTTAAATCAGTAAAGGCAGGCTGTTCTCAAAACTGTTCTTTAGTTTTCAAAGGGGTTCTGATGTGGGAGGTGTGGGCTGGGAAGTGGATGGGGGGCCTGGATACTGCAAAAGGTGCCCATTGAGTTTACTGTGGGTCCCCATGCACCAGCTAGTGATGCTAGAAAAGTCGGTCCCCTTTCTTGGCTCTGCCCTACTGAGTGGCTGAGCCCTGGCTGATACTTACGGAGATGCTCAATGATGCTGTCAATGGTTGGCTTAAAAAGGGCATTCATGGCATCCGGACTCATCCTCAGCATCCCTTGTGAGGACCACTTCACAAAATCCACACTGTGGGGGTGTGGCATGGAGAGAAACAGGTAGTGAGTGTGTGAACGATACCCAGGCTAATGTGTACAGACATGGGTGCTAGCAGAACAGCTGTCACATCGAAGGGAACAGAAGGGTTTGAAAGTCCCTGGAAATATCCTCAACTGCCAGAACCTGGACCCTTAGATACTCAAAAGCCAAGACACAGCCTCTTCTGTTTCTCTTTGCTTTGTGCTGTGGCCAACCTTCCCTTGGAATGGCAGAAGCCAAAGTCTAGTGCAAAATACAGGGTAAGAATTAAAGGGATCTTTCTGGTTTGAATGTCCACATTTTTTAGTCGAGTGATAGTCAGATTTGAGTCCATTAATGAGTCCATTAAATGCTCATATGATGTGTCCACTGTGCTGTGGCCTATGGCTACAAGCCTATGTGCTCAGGTGCCTTTTCGTAAGCCCTGTGGGCACCTGTCCTATGACAGTGACAGGCCTAATCCAACTAGGATGCCCCTTTCTCTGTCAAAGGTACAGAACATGCAAAGCAACAGCATGGAACAGAAAGAGCACTAGATGGGGAGTCAGGAGTGCCCGGCTCCAGGATGGTCTCTGCCCCTCAGAACCTGTGGAACTTTTGGGAAAGTTGGGCTGCAATTTCTCTGAGCCCCAGTCTCTTATCTGGAAATCAAAGATAATACAACTTGTCTTACCTCCCTCATCGGGGTTGTTGTGAAGATGAAGTTAAATATCACATTTGTGAAAACACTTTGGAAATGCCAGGGACTGTTATTGCAGCCTGTACCGCTCATTCTCAAGTTCAAAGACCAAGCAAATGGCATCTGTCCCTGAAGCAAAGCATGTGCCAGCTGCTTCCTAGCATCACCTTCTAGATGCTTCCAGGTCTCCCTGACCAGGCAGTCTTTCTGTGGCCTCAGCCAAAGGACAATGTGGGATGGTATGGGATGATCCATGGGTTGGCTGTAGCCAGTGTCCCCAGAAGGAATGCTGACAGGCCCCAGACTGTGTGAGCAGGTTTGGGGTTCAGCTGGGAGCAAGCAGCTCCGTGGGAGGCCAGTGGACAGAGAGACCATGAGCCTAGAATCTCATAAGAGTCCAACCAGGACCCTGCTCCAAGGGCAAGAAGACCCAAAATCCTATCTCCTTTATTTCCTAACAGAGCCCAGCTTCTTAGAGAACTGGCTGATTGCAGGTCTGGGATGGGGAGCATACAAGATGAGTCTTCTCAAACCAGAAGTCAGACCAAAATATCATATCAATGGGACTCAGGAGCCAACTTGAAGAGGCTCCTCCTGGCCAAGACGGGACATTGTGATGATCAATAAGGATACAGCTGCCATGGTTTAAAGTACACCAAATACGCCTAAATCCATGAAGTCTGAATGGTATCCCCACAAAAGGAAAAAAAGCATTTGTCACTTAGGAGAATGCTAGGAATTCCACAATGTTTTTTTTTGTTGTTGTTTTTTAACAAAAAATGTTTAAATGAAAGGAAAGAACCAAGCATTTGTCCTGTCTTCTCTATATGAACTGTACTTCAGTGGGCAACCAAACCACTTAGGAGAAGAGTTTCTCTCTCCAGAAGCATGCTAGCTAACAAATGCAGGAGGAGTGAGAGACGAAGAGGCCACCCATTAGCTTGGTGGGCCTAGGCAACAATGGCTAGCTAGCATCCCAAAAGAAGCAACCAGCAAATAGCATGTGCTCCCTGATGTGATGCAAGGGGAAATACTATCCCCAGCCCCCACCACGAAGTAGGTTTGCCAAAAACTCAAACTTGAATCTGACCAAATCTCTAGCTCAGTCTGACAATTTATAAAAAATACCAGGGGACCAAACATGTTAGGTGGGCATGCACTGAGCAAAAACCCCAGCCTGTAGAAGTCTCTATGGGACAATCAGCTTTATCATCTAATAAACTAAAGAAAAAACAGGAGGGTGATCCTATATGTTAAGTGGGACGTAGGGGCATGCCAGAGCATTGCTATGAATAGCCATCTTTTAGATAGTATTGCAAACTGAAAAAAAATAAGACGATAGGAAAAATTTGAATGTTCCCTGGGTATATTTGAAGGATACTGAAGAATTACTTGTTTTAAGTGTGATAGGAATAAGTGTCATGGTTTTGATTTTCAAATTATCTCCCTTAGAGATATACTGTTATATTTATGGATTAGATGATGATCAGATTTGCTTTAAAATGCTTGGGAAAGGGTACATAAGGATTTAGATTGGCCAGGAACTGACAGTTGTTGAAGCTGAATAATGAGATTCATTTTGCCCAGTAAATGTTTGAAATTTTCCACTATAAAAAGGATTTTTAGAAACCTATGATTTTTGTCTATTAATTTTGTACTTCAGCTTTAAAATAGCTTCCAGGGATCCCTGGGTGGCGCAACGGTTTGGCGCCTGCCTTTGGCCCAGGGCCTGATCCTGGAGACCCGGGATCGAATCCCACGTCGGGCTCCCGGTGCATGGAGCCTGCTTCTCCCTCTGCCTGTGTCTCTGCCTCTCTCTCTCTCTCTCTCTCTCTCTCTCTCCTCTGTGTGTGTGACTATCATAAATAAATAAAAATTTAAAAAAAAAAAAAAAAAAAAATAAAATAGCTTCCAAATGTTCATTTTGCAACAAGCTGAACTACAAACACTTGCCTGCAGCCAAGAGACTCAGAGTAGCAGGAAACCCAGGATCCCACAGGATTCATTCAACAAATATTTACTGAGCACTTGCTATGTCCACACCAGATTCTATTGTAGATACGGAGGATATAGCAGAGGCCAAAACACACAAAATTCCCTGCTTTCATAAAGCTTATAATTATTAGCACATAATAAAAGCTAACACAAAAATAGTACTTTCCAGGTCCAAAGCATTGTGCTAAGTGCCTCACATATGAATTCACTTCATCCTCATGACAACCGTTTGAGGTAAGTGGAACCATCATCTTTGTTTTCTAGATGAAAAACTGAGAAACAGAGAAGTTGAGTCACTTGCCCAGGCTTTTACATAGGACTGGAACTCAGAGTCCACACCCCTTTCTTCCCTCCCATCAACATGAGCCACCCTCTAGAATGGCCTAAGCCCCTGGTGAGTCCAACTCACTTGCTCTTCCTCAAGGCATGCTCCACACTGTGTCCACGGAACTTCTTGTAGTAGTCAATGAAGGAGAAGGGCAGGGTGATGTTCAGTGGGTTAGTTCGGTCTGGAGCAGCTGCCCTTTTACGAGACTCAAATGCAATCATTAAGTCAACCCAGGCTGCAGGACGCTTGATTTTGAATTGTTCGATAAAATCCTCTCCAAATATTTTACACAGAAGTTTTTCAAATTCATAATCTACTCCTAAGGATCCATAGGGTCCACCTGGGTCAAGAACAAAATGGGAGTCCACCATGTTAAAAAACTGCCAGAAACTGAATCCAAACTCTGAGGAACAGTGTACCCGCTGTTCTTCCCTGAAATATGGAGTAGCTCAGCTTAGACCCAGTTAGCAAGCTGACTGTGGCTATAAATTTTTACTAACACTTTAAAATCCTTCAGTTCTTCTCCTCCCAGGTGGAGATACTTTCTCCTACAGAATCACCTGTCAACTAGCTGTTTAAAATCCATTACATTCTTTTTTTTTTTTTTTAAAGATTTTAAAGTAATCTCTACACCCAACGTGGGGCTTGAACTCACAACCTCAAGATGGAGAGTTGCATGCTGCATGGACTGAGCCAGCCAGGGGCCCCATATCATCACTTTCATTTTAAATAAAATGGAGATGTGTAATATGTAGGAGCATCATAGTATTCCCCACCCAAGAAATCCAAGGACAGGGTCTGGAAAATCAGTAGGCCCACTCAGACCCTGTGATCTGTTCATTACTCATCATCCCACCCCCCACTGAAAGAGAGAGCCTGTTGCTTGCTTTGACAACTTTGATCCAAGACCAGGTGTCCCGAGACCTCTCTAGAAAGCTTAACCATCGCGCTAAATCACAGGTGACATATGATCAGGTGACAATCTGATCCCTCCAGAACTTTCAGAAAGAAATTCCCTTCGCCAGGATCTAAAACAGGCTCGTTTTATGCCAAAACCCCAGTTATGGTGGTTTGTGTTTTAAAGAACGCTTAGCTACATTTTGCTAGCTGGTTCCACACAGGCATCTAGCTATCAGTAGATGGGCCTCGAGTCCCCTGTCCTGGGAGCACCAAGGGAAGGAAGTACGAGGAGAAATCTGACACGAGAGAAGCAGCTCAGGAATGAGAAAATCAGCCATGCAGGGACTCACCTGTTGCTTTATACAGTTCTTTAAGGTGACCCTCCGGTAACCGTATCTGATGGACGGTCAGGTCCACTGTGCCACCGCCACTGTCCACAACCACATACTTGTCACCTGGTACAAAGACAGCCATCCTTTACATAAGACCGCCTGTCAGCCCCTTCCTGGGACAAGCTGGAGGTTGAGGACTTGGTATACCCGACCCAACACCCGTGCACACTTCTCATTACCACTGTGATTTTGCTAATTAGCTGCACAGCAAAGTTATTCATGACTGAAGAGAATGCAATAACGTCTGGCCAGGAGTGTCATTAGCATGGATGATAGGGAACCCAGATGAGTGAATCTTTAAGATGAAAGCATTCATGTCACACGCCGCTGCGTACCTGGCACACACAGGCGGATGACTTCCTGCCAAGTTTATAGCGCCGTAAAAATGACCTGCTGTTTAACACAAGACTTACGCCGGAACTGGGGAATTCCCATTCCTACTTGTCTTCTAAAGAGTCTGTCTGTACGGCTTTATAACATGCAAAATTATAGCTCCGGAAGAGCCATCCTGGGGTGAGGGGCTTTAAAACCAACCTTTTCCAAAAGTGCAAAAGGAACAAACAGGAACATGCATTTTTGCCAGCCGTGCAAAACAAATCCAGCAAGGGCAAAGGACATTCAAGGACACTACCTTCCTCCAGCTCGGACCAGATTTCTCCTATGACATTCTCCACCAAAAAGGTCCGACTCTGCCGATTACGCCGGATGTGTTCCTTAGCTAGTGGCCGACAGAAAGAAAATGATGGGTAAGAAAGCATGAAAGAGCAGGCCGTCATCTGCAGTCAGTGGAGGCAACAGCACGAGGAGGCCGAGGGACAGAACGTGTAGCAGTACTTGACCAAAATGATTACATAAATACAACATTGGGAAACGCAAAGGCAGACCATTTCCCCCAGTCTCAGTCTATTGATTGCATGGCAGCTTGGCCTGCGCCCTGCTGGAAAACCTGCCCTGGAGACGCAGCCCTTCCCCCGGTGACACTTTTTTGGGGGGAAGGGGTTAATAAATCGACCAAATTCCTGGCTGTGCTGTCCCGGGGAGGAACTTGTCTGCCAAGAAGCTTGCAGTGCACTCGGTTAAATAATTTCATCCCAAGGAACTGTGTCTGATGCAAGGAATGTCGGGTATGTTTTCCTAATCTGGATCCTGGGTAAAGGGGACTGGAGCCATTTCCTGACCCCGGTGAAGCCAATATGCTCTTCAGCCACAAGGTGGCACTTCAGCCACAGGGCGGCCCACCTGAACCCAGCAAAGCCCAGGCCACGGCCACCTGTCTCTAAGTCTGGGCAACCACAGGGGCTGGGGCTCTTAGTGGCCTTGATGCATTGTGTTGGGCGACTGCATCTCTTACAGGCCACCTGAAGCCCTGGGAGCCAGACGGGCCCCAACTCAACGTCCTTCTGTCCAGAGGAGGAAAGCAGGTCAGACGGGGTTAAGGAGCTTGCAGTTCCTTCCATGACTCTGTCTTAAGATGCAGCTCCAAATCAACCCTTGGACCATGGACCCTCATAACAGTTTAAGGTGAAAAACCAGAACATGAATGTTAAGAGATGAGAAAGGGGCTGTGACAGGATATCGGGGATCAGGGAGTGTGGCCGAGGTGCACGATTGGGGCAGATCACTTCACCCCTCTGGGCCTCAGTTTCCACAACCAAAGAGGGGGATAATAACACTTGGCTTGAGTTCCTCACAGCCAGAGCAGGGACCGGTTCTTGAGTTTTACCTCAGCCCCCGGTGTGACACCCAGCACATAATAGGTGATGATGAAGGCAAAGCACCAAGTATGAGACCTGGTACCCAACAAATGATCGCTCCAATGAACAGTTTAGAGCAACCCCCAGTTGTACAGATAAAGGCTCTATCCACTGCCCTGCTGCCCCATCCCACAACCTCAGCCCCCACCAATTTTTTTTAGTCCCTAAACTGGTGCTGCTGACTTTGAATTGCCCTATAAATCCATCTGTTGCTGGTTATCCAGTTAAGGACTCTTGACCCTCTAGCCCCATCTAGCAAGGAGCACCATGTTTGCAAAACAATGTCTTCTCTAGGGATTAGAATGGCAAGAGCCACTCAGCTCTAAATTTCTCCGGCATACAGTGGTGAGGCCATCTGGATTAAAAAGTTCCTGCAGGCCCGGGAGGGAACCTCGAACTCAGGGCTTCTGTCCTGTTCTGAGCATTGGCTCCAGGTGAGCTTCTATTGCAGACCTTGCAGTGGGCCTTTGGTTTGGCTAAAACAATCTAGATGGCATTCTTTAAAAAATGATCAAGCAAGAGTAATAAAACATATTCTGAGCTCTGAAAAAAAAACTATCATATTTTCAGGCAAATTAAGCCCAAGATTATGAAAAAAATGTATCCTTTACTGATCTCATGAAATCTTTCTGGAGCAAAATAATACAGACAGCAACCCTGTGGTGCTGGGGCAGAGGGCCACCCCCATTCTCCCCAGTACTGTCCACTGGGCATCCATCACAGAGGAGCATCAAAGGGCAGAGAACACCCTGGGGGATGCTCGGGGCCCTAATGCCATCCAGGGCACTCTTGATGAGGTGCCTTGCCACGCCTCCCCAGGCAGCACCCCCTCCTCTGGGGAGACAGGCTGTAAGTGTGAGACGAGGCTGAGATAGAACCCCTGCTTCACCACCCCTCTGAGGGGTAGTGGCAAACAATTTGAGGATTTCAAAAACCAGAAAGACCTGGGCAGCCCGGGTGGCTCAGCGGTTTAGAACCGCCTTCAGCCCAGGGCGTGATCCTGGAGTCCTGGGATCGAGTCCCACATCGGGCTCCCTGCATGGAGCCTACTTCTCCCTCTGCCTGTGTCTCTGCCTCTCTGTGCCTCTCATGAATAAATAAAATCTTAAAAAAAAGAAAGAAAGAAAGAAAGAAAGACCTTCTGAGCACAAGACGAGAGCAAACTCCACAAGACACAGACACGGAGCAGTGTGGAAGTAGACAAGACATATTAAAGGAAAGGAAGCCCAAAACGGAGCTCTCCGGGAAGGCAAGCACTCAGAAACAGTTTCCCCTTCGAATGTGTTACACTTCAGAGTAGGAAGAAGAGCTAAGCTACAATTAGCTAGTTCTGACATGAGTTTTTGTCTATGAACCAGTAAGAACTAGCACATGAGATATGAAACCCAGTCAGTCATGCATCTCTTTTCCCATTAAAACAATGAAGAGTTAAATAAATTTGTTATCCTGAGTGTTTAAAATGTTAAGACATTCGACTGAGTTAAGAGTAAGGCTAGCCCCGGCATGCTTTGATGGAGGCCAAGGCATTGCCAAAAGAAAAAAAAAAATTTAAAAAGGCTAATCAAGCCCTCGGAGTTGAAGGGCAGCCCATTCGTTGCAGGTGAATCAGGTGTGAGGTGCGAGCACTGCACCCTGGCAGGCTGGGTTCAAGCGAACAAGAACTTTGCCATTGTCTGGTGGCTGAGCTTCACAGACTCTTCCACCTTGGGTTGAAAATGCAGAGTGGTGGCCTCTGGGGCAGAGTGGGCAAAGAGGAAGAGGAAAGTTCTGGAGGAGAGGATTCAGGGCCACGTGGGCAGGCATGCACGCCTGTGAAGGTGGCGCCAGGGCCCCAGTGTCTCGGGCAGTGCAGAGACAGGCTTCGGGTGCAGGAACCAAGGAAAAGTTAGAACCAGGCTGCAGGGGGCACAGTGGGCGGCAGTTCTCCAGTTCTCGTTAACACCCTCCTCCTCCTCCTCCTCCTCCTCCTCCTCCTCCTCCTCCTCTGGGGCCTGGGCCTTCCATCCTGGGGGTGGGCATGGGTGATGGGTGGCTTTCTGCCCTGGAGGACTTCATCTGGGAACAGCATCCACGGCACACAGATTTAATGCCTGTGCTCCCTCCCGTGGGTGGCTGTGACCCTGACCTCGGCTGTCTGCCAACTCCGGGGCCCTGGCCAGACTCACAGAGCTGGGGATAGAGGGGAAAAGAGTTCTGGGGACGGGACCATGACCGTCTTGCACGCAGGGAAATATTGAAGGGAAGAAGTTCCTTAACACCCAGCCCGGCTGCCCCTGGGCGGTGCTTCTGTCCCACGGGTAAATGAGCATCAGCCGGGGCAGGAAGACTCAGCCGCTGTCATCTGCATTTTAAACTCTGCCAGGTTCCCGGTTAAGACACATAATGAGCTCACCACACACACGAAGTGGCCCTGATGAGTGAGTCAGCAGTAAATCAACAATCTTAATGGAGGAATTAATAACAGGCAAGTGGGATTAGATGAAGAATCAGTTAATAAATAAGAAAAATGAAGAGCCTAGTAAAATGTAAGGCCAAGAGCCGCCCTCGGGCCACCCTCCCTCCCCATGCCTAAGGCCCACGGGGTGAACAGGTGATGCCCCCAGGCAACTGCTGCAGAGTATCCCAGGGACCCTGGGGAGGCAGGGGTGGGGGGCACGGGGTGGCAAGGACAGAGGGGCTTACAGCTGACCTCTCTGGGAGCATCTTGATTCTTCACTACAAGGGCCTTTAAGTAATCAGGGCCAAGAACCATGCAGGGGCGGGAGTGGGGTGAGCAGGGAGGGGAGAGAGAGAGCAGGAGGTACCCTGTGCAAACCCAGCTCCCACTGTGTCACCGGAGCTGTACCCGTTGACCGCGGCCTTGCTGCTCAGCTCGATCATCTGGTGCAGCCGCAGCTTCCGGCAGTAGATGGAGGCCGCCTCGGGCTCCAAGGCGATGATGAGCTGCTCGGCGTTCTCGGGGGAGGCCAGGCCTGCCTGGAAGACAGAAGCAGAGGCTGGGACCCAGGCCCCCCACGGGCAGGAGCACTCTGAGGACACTCAGGCCCTCAAGGGAGGGACGCTGTGCTCTGCCGGCCTGGGAGATTCCCTCACAGACCACTGCGGGGCTTACACTCAGGGGTGACGGGGCGCTGGGCCCCACGCTGGGGACCCAAACACCGTGGAGTGGCCAAGGAAGATGTACGAGTGCCTTTGGGAAACGCAGGGCTCTCTGGACCCTGGGGCCTCTTTCATGTGGGACTTGCTTGGCCTGGAACTGAGAAGCATGAAGGGGGAGATGCTCGCAGACTCTGAAAACTGTCAGAGGATGGAAGGTACGTGGTTTGATTCTGGTTACAATGGGCCAAATGGTCGAAGAGCAGCCTCCAGTCTTTGGTGGCCCAGGAAACAGGTGGGCCTTTGCTGGCCCTGTCTCTGGGAGAAAGCCCTCCTGGAATCTCACATAGTCTCATGCTTTCTAGAATATGGGTCAACCGGCAGCTGGCAGTTATTTTATTCAAAGCCTTTATCCCTTTAATAGCAGCAATGCTTCTGCTCTGTGACATCTGGCTTGTTCCAGTCACAGCCCCTCACACGAGGCTCTGGGACCACCCTTCTGAGGGCTCTCAGAGACACAAGCCTGGCGTGGCCTCTGACAGGTCTCTGTCCACCTCCTGGGCCTGGCTGAAGCACGAGGCCTCAAGGGTACATTGACGCCGTTCGAGCCCAAGAGCTTCCTGGTTGCCAGCATGACAGGACAGAAAAGCTCTTTCCTTCACTCCTGTGTTTGATTCACTGCTGTTCCCTAGGGAACGTTGGGATGTGGCCCTCATGCCACACCCACTCCGGAGAAGACACCAGTTCCACCCCACGGCCCATAAGAGTTAGTGGACTCATCTTGAGATCAGGGGTGGAAGGTCTGTCTAAGGTCACATGTGCAAGTGACCTCTCACCAAGAGGAGCTGGCCTAGAGTCACAGATAGAAGGGTCTTCGAAGGTTCCATCATTGGACAGGGAGGGGAGGGGGTTCAAGTTAGAATATTATATATGCAAAGGTGCTTCTTGGCCTTTTGTCCAACTCCTTCCCTTTATGCAGAAAGAAACCAAGGCTCAGAGAGGCAAGATGACCAACCGTCCTGAGTTTCTCGGGACAGGGACTCTCAGTGCTGAATCCCGGACAGTCTTGGGCTCAGGTGTATCCAACCTGTATGTGGCAGAGCAAGCCTGGGCCCTGTGTCGAGGCCTGCAGACCAGCCCTCTAATGGGTCCTTAGTTTCCTGCTCTGGGTAACTCCAGGTACCGGTGTGGGACCCAGGCCTTTGGACTTTGGACAAAACTTCTGGGGTGAAGTTGGAGGATCTAATGATCCTCCTTCCACTGGTTTAAGGGTACGATCTCTTAACCCACTTACTTGGGGAGAGCACGAGATGGTGCCCGGCCTCTATTGGCCTGCAGTAGTTCTCCATAATAGCTATGCCCCACATGAACCAGTAACTGTGTCTTAATGAGAAGCCACATGCAGGCAGGTGATTTAAATCCCCTCCCCCACCAATACCAAATGCTCACCAGTGGTAGAAGCCCTTCTGGAAGACCAACTTTATAAAACCTATACCATCTACAGAATAACTGCCTCCTTATGGTTTTGTGCCCTCAGTCGTTAGCCAACCACGTGGGCAGCACCTACACCCATCAGTTTGGTCCCCGGGTTGAAGAGGGTCTGTGTGCCCATCAACAGGCCACAGATTTCCCACTGCTCCCTACTCAAGGAACTAAAGTCCCCCTCTGCCAGCCTCCCAAAGGGTCCCATTAGACAGCCTTAGCACCAAGACAGCTGAAGGCTATGGTGCCCCATGACAAAGAATAAGAGTTAGAGACCTAAGCATCACCAGGAAAGCTGAGTCCTCCAAATCTCAACCCGAAGGATTCCAGAAGAAATCCAATATAAAACCAAGGGGAGCCCCCTTCTAAAGGACCGCTTTGGAAGACTGACTTTTTTTCCAGATTATGGGTTTGTAAAGTCAAGGACCTCCTAGAATAGAAGCTAACAGGTTTCCAGCTTACCACAAAATGGCATGAGGAAGAAGGACAAACTAGCTATAAAGAAACAACTAGGCCAAAATGTTTAAGATGCTCTTCCAAAGTTCAGAACAGGGATCCCTGGGTGGCGCAGCGGTTGGGCGCCTGCCTTTGGCCCAGGGCGCGATCCTGGAGACCCGGGATCGAATCCCACATCGGGCTCCCGGTGCATGGAGCCTGCTTCTCCCTCTGCCTGTGTCTCTGTCTCTCTCTCTCTCTCTCTGTGACTATCATAAATAAATAAAATAAAAAAAAAAAGATTCAAAGTTCAGAACGAAAGATAGCCTGGGAAAAAGGGGTGAGGAGAGCAGGGCACCGGGGCCTCGCCCAGGGGCGGCATGAAGGAGGACAGGCTCACTACCGCCACGTGTCCCACTAGGATGTCCACACACCAGGCAGTCACCACGTGGCCAGGAAGAGCAACAGTGGGCCCGGCCCTGGCAGTGGGGCAGGAGGGGAAAAAAAGAAAAAGTAAATGCTTTTCACTCCTCTCCACACCTCCCCTGAAACTGTGAGCAGCCGCTCTGATTTAGATGTGAAGTATTGGGGAGCCTGGGTGGCTCAGTCAGTCTGACTCTTGGTTTGGACTCAGGTCATGATCTCAGGGTCATGAGTTTGAGCCCCATATCAGGCTCTGTGCTCAGCAGGGAGTCTCCTTGAGATTTTCTCTCTCCTTTTCCCTCTACTCCTCTCCTGGCTATTTCTCTCTTTCTCTCTCTCTCTCAAATATATAAATAAATCTTCAAAAAAAATAGATGTGAAATATTTATACAGAAAACCAAATCAAGAAGTTGAGAGAAGCAAAGAGCATTGAGTACAGTTATACCACTTCAGGTGCCTGCGTGTCCCTGGTATGGGACTTACACAATCCAGGTTCCCCCTGGAATGCGTCCACATTCCAAAGACATGAAAGACACACAGTCTGCCCCAAACAGCATGGCTGCACCCCTCAGGGGAGGCCTTTCATCTGTCCCTCCCCAGCTGGGTTGGCCTCAGCCCTGCAGCAAAAGCTTTGCCCCATTTCCACAGAGGTAGAAATCTCCCCATGGTACCCAAGAGAGGATGCAGATGGGGAGCGGAGGTGCAGAGGATCTCAGACCAGGGGGGAGGAAAAGGTAAGATCAGTGAGAGGCCCAGGACAAAGTAACCACACTCCTTTGCTCGAACATGCCCCATCCTGCTCCCCAGAGAGAGTGAGGGACCCTGTCCCAACAGCAACTCTGATGGGGACTACGGTGGAGAGCTGGCTTCCTTCTTCCCAGGAGGGGTCCCAGAGCCTGCTTGTGGACATCAAGAAAGAGAGGAAATGCAAAAGAATCTGCCAGACTCTCAAAAACTCAGATGCCCTGATCTCTCTAGGCAGGAGGACCCAGTGCCTGGAAGGGTAGGCTTTCTTTCTCCATCAACACTTGTGGTCATTTTCAGCAGAAGCCTCAGCCTGGGTCAACCAGAGCAGGGGACCTGGCTGCTTTGGCTGTTCTGCCTCTGAAGCTGGTACCTCGTAGTCGCTGGTCCACATGAGCTCTGCCTCCACGGGGCCCTGGCCGAGCACTCGGCCTACGCTGTCTCCAACTACACATCATGCAGACACGCCAAGCCTCTCCCGTAAGAGGCTACACTTTCTAAGGGCAGCTACGCTTTCTCAGGTCTTCTCGTCCCACAGCACAAGGTGGGTGCTCAGGGGATAGCTGCTGAATGAATGAACCCACCATCCCTCCCAGCCAGCCTTTATTCTGCATTTCCTGGCCCTCGTCTCTAAAACACTGAATGAAAAAAAAAATGAAAAAAAAATACACTGAATGAGAGCCTTCTGTTGACATGACCTGGGGATTCAACAAACAGAAAGTGTCTGAGCCAAGACCGCACTATCCCATCTGACTCCTCCATGAATCCAGGGCAGCAGGAGCACCACCACAGTCTCCCTTAGGGCACCGCTACCTGGTCATGAGCCCCACTTGGGAGGAGCAGACATGTGAGAAAACTGCAGTGGAGGGAGCCTGGGGATGTGGGCATTCACACCGGCTACTCTGCCCCCCAGCCCTGCTGTCACCCAGGAAAGCTGGCCAGGGACTGTGTGCATAGCTGTGGAGGATGGCCAGACCGACCGAGTGCTCCCGGCCCACAGCCAGCCGCACAGGGCTACAGCTGCCCCAGTACTGGGTGTCAGGGGCTGTTGCTTATTGTGTCCCCCCCCCCCATGTGATTCTTTTTCACTGCACTTTGTTCAGGAAGGGAAGCCAGTGCAAGCTATAACTCCACGTTAGGTGACATCATCATATGTAAGGGAACGTCTTTTCTTTGACGGGTTTCTGGAACCCACCAGGGTTACACATTTTAGGCAAAGCGCCTCTAGAAATCAACTGGACTACTTCCTATCCACGATGACTCTCCCTCAAGACTCAGTGGAACTGTCTCTCCTTCTAGGTCTTTCCTGAAGGCCTCAGAAGAGGGATCAGCCATTCTTCCTGCAGTATACCATCTGTTCAGTGAAACTGAAACTTTTAACGGGTCTAACGATATCCTGAGGCTGTGAATTATAAAAGATAGAGATTTAACCCACTTTTCCAACAAGCATTTGACACAGGAGGAGTTTTTGGAGTTTCACAAATAAAACTGTATCCATAAAGTGCCCCGTGGCCCCACCAATGCCTGCACTGAATCATAGACTTCTGAGCGGCAGCCCCAGAACCATCCACTCCAGGCCTGCTTCTTCCATGAGAGATGATGCCCAGAGCCTCATCTCTTGCTCTGCATCCAGTGGAGGAATGAAGCTCAACCCCCATATGACAATGTCATGAACCTGGGTTCACAGGGCCACCAACAGGCCTGAAGGAAGGACTCCACTTCCTGCATGCAAAGTAAATGTGACCAGTTTCCCCGCTGTCCTGACCATTCTACCTCATCCTTCCAGCTCTTCCACCTGAAGCTAGGCTGATGAGCAGCATTCTGGTTGGAAGGGATGGTGGGCACTCTCAGATCTCAGAAGCCAGCTGACCCAAGAACTATGTTCCTTGCTCAGGTTCTCTATTAGCATGCTCCAGAGAAACAGAACCAGTAGGATGTACACAAACACAGAAAGAGGTTTACTACAAAGAACCGACTCACACAATTATGGAGACTGACAAGTCCCAAGAACTACAGTCGGCAAGCTGGAGAACCATGAGAGCTCATGGTATTGTTCCCCTGCCGACAGGCGCAAGACCCAGGAAGAGCTAATGTCTCGTTTGAGTCCAAAGGGAGGGGGAAAAAATGTTCCAGTTTGAAGGCAGGCAGACAGGCAGCAAGAATTCCCTCTTATTCTGGGGAGTTTCAGCGTAACGTTTTAGGCAGGCCTTCAACTGATTGTATGAGGTCCACCAGCCTTAGGGAGGGCAATCTGCTTTATTTATTCAGTCAATTTAAATGTCAACCTCATTAACAAATATCCTCACGGCAAATACTCAGAATGATGTTTGACCAAGGTGAACCTCGGCCCAGTCAAGCTTACACATAAAATTAACTATCAGGGGTATATATTTATCTTATTCTGTATAATTAATGGAGGATAAGGAGAGGGAATGGGAGAGATGCTAACTTTGACCATGCTTCATTTCCATTTTGTCATGGGGACTCTTCCAGAAGACAAGATAAAGATATCATAGACTAGTCGGCCAAGCAGTTGAGCCCCTGTAACTCCCTTTCCCCCCTCCCCAAAGTACAAAAGGCTTCAGTGAACCACTCAGCTGTGAGCAACCTGAGAGTGGGGCCTCATCTTGGTTATATAGGGTATGAATCCAGTGCCTACCACATCCCAGCACACAGAAGTCCCCCATTGTGGGTTTGCTTAATGAAAAAAATGAATGAGGAAACAAAGAATGACTGAATGGCCCCTGCCATCTTGAAAGCCACTCAGTGGCTAAACTGGACACGAGTATCAAATCAGAATTACAATGGGCCCAAAATTAAGTTGCACAAACACTACACCAACCGGAAGTTACCCAGCATCCAAAGGATCGGCCAGTCGGCAGAGTATCTCTGGGCTTCAGAAAGAAACATCCCACGTCCATAAACACTGCTCACCTCCACTTTCGCAAGGAGCTTCTGACCCATCATCGACCCTCTGAGGTGCCATTTTGAGTCTGCCAAACCCTGAGGGCCACCGCACCCCCCTCTGTCTGGCTTCCTACTCACCCCGAGGAGGAGGGCTTCCCTGCCAGGCCCCACTCCTCAGAGAGCCAGCCCACAGCTCCAAGAGCCCCGACAAATCCACCAGTCCCTGCACCTCTTTCTGTTTCAGGCTAAAATAAGAACTGACCCTTTTCCGGGTCACATTGTTTGTCACTGCAGTTTTCCTATGGGAAAATGAGAGTCAGAGCCATGAATTCTGAGTGTCCTTCCTGTGACAACTCAGAAAGCCGGCTGTGTCTTCATGGACAGTCATGTCCTGGCGTCCCATCTTTGGACACTGCCTGGAGGCTGACACCGTGGAAAAGCTCCAGGAGGCCGAGGGCTTCTGTGGACAACTAAACTGCATTTGGTTTCTTCCTTTTTAAAGCAGTTACCTCTTTCTGGAACTTCCACCCTCTTCCTTCATCCCTATCAAAACAAATCTATTTCTGGCAGATACATAGACTGAGCCAGATTCTCACGCTGAAAGGGAGAGCAGAGCAGAGAGCCTGTGGCAGAGGAGGGACGAAGGAGAAGTGGGGCGCAGGGGCAATGCCCTCCCCGGAACTCTGTCACCTGGAGTAAAGCTCCAAGCGTTGAGTACAATTCATGACACCAAGGTACCCATGGCCATTTTGCTACATTCGGCGTTCAGGGTTGCTCTGGTGGGTGTTTTGAAAGGAAAGGTTTATACATACGGCTACAAACTCAACATCAGAGACATGTCCCCTGAGAAGGGTGGCTGTCCCCTGAGAGGTCTGGCGGTGGGCAAGGGAACATCTCTTCCCTTGGTGACTTTCCCCAGCCCAGCTCTGGTTGAAGGCTCTGAAAACTGACTCTCATGGCACAGAGTAGGCCCAGGCCCCAGGGTGGGCTTCCATGAACCCAGGGGATTAACTACAGCAGGGACCAACTCTGACCTGCAGGTCAGCTTGGCCAGCCGTTCTTGCCATGATGTCAGACCCTCATGGAAGCCCCATCATGGCACACATTGCCTGTGAACAGTGTGAGGGTTGGTGGCCATGAGGGTCCATGGTACCAGGGATGCCCCCAGCGCCCAGGAGGGACCGCCTGGCCATTGGCAATGGAATGAATGCTCTGTCCACGGCGCCACACTGACTGGCACACTCCTCAGCCATGCCACTGCCCTCATCCAGGTGTCTGCCACCATGCAGGCCTGGTGGCCTCACCACCCCCGATGACCGTGTGTGCTCCCGTGTAGGTCACAAGGTGAAATGTACAGAAGACTATCCCATGCCCCTTATGTCCCGGCTGCATATGTGCAGATTTCAGCCTCCATCCAAGCTGATGTGCCTGGCTCACGGCCCTCAGCTTTCTCTCTACTCTTTTCTTCTTCAAACATTCTTACTGCCCAAGCCTTTTCCTTGAGGTTCTCACTTCCATTCACCCGTGAAGAAATGTCTCTGTGCCCCAGTTTGAAATCCTAGCCCTGGGGAATCTACAGTGTAGAAGGTGTTAGAAAGAAAGAAAACCTAGCCCAACCCTTGTGGACCTGATCCCCATTCCTCCCCCAGGAAGAAGGCTCCGTATCCCCGGGCCCATGGGACACCCTTCACTGCCTCCCAGGGAGGCCTATGAGAGTGGGGTGACAGTCACCACCGGGGACATCCTGCCCTCCCCCCCTCCCGCCCACCCCCACACTCACCTGATAGGCAGCTTGTCTCATGAACTGCTTGGCGGGCTGTTTCCAAATGGCAGGCACTGTGATGACCCATCTGACATCAGAGTTCTCGAACTCTGACCCCGCCTGGTCACTCAGCTCCTAAAGCCAAGGGAAATGCCACAGGTCAGGTGGACACAGCTGGTCCTCCTACGGCTTCACTGAGGATTCCAGGCTTTCTGGCCATGAACTCTTGGGGCATCTATGCTACCGTCTCCTGAACTTACCAGTGTCAGGGAGCAAGGGTCAGTTTCCTGAATATTCTGCAAGCAGGGATCTCTGCTGTTTTCACTCACTGAATGTGACTACAGGAGGAGGCAGGCAGGTCAGAGGCCTTTGGCCTCAGTTTCCTTATCTGCACAGTGAGGATAATAGTACCTAGGTCACACTGCGGTTGGAAGGAGTGATAATTTTCTGAGTGCTACATTTCCTGGGAGTTTACTCTGTGTCCACCTCGTTCAGCACTTTGCAGACCTCATCTCTATTAATCCCAGGATCCCATCAGGAAGGGATCATAACTGCGTACCCTTCCTAGAGACGGGAATCTAAGGCCTAGATATGTTCAGTACCTTTGTACGACTGCACAGCTGGAAAGTGACAGAGCCAAGATTTGCACCCAGACCCAGGTGGATCTCAACTCTAAAGGCCAAAGTCTTCACCAAATTGTTACATGTGGATTCAGATCTAGAACAGGGCCTGGCCCACAGCTGTTGTCAGAGTTGTCACTGTCCGCAACCTTATTGGGAGGCCAGCACCTCAGGGGAGTTCTCCTAGCAGGATGGGAAGGACATGGACAACGTGACCTAAGCAAAGAACCACGCTGCCCTTAACTTTTGGTTGAGGTTTAAACCACATCAGCGGAACCACATGGATCAATGGGATGGGCGGAAGCATCAGAGGTCCACACCAAGTCCATACAGATAAAATACCCCAGAATAGTTCCCAGACTCAGTATTCCCGTCTGTAAAATGGGGAGAATAAAACTAATGCCCAGTGTTTCTGGTGAGAACACGTGGGAGCACCTTGCCCAGAAAAGACCTCTGATAGAGCAAAGCTCCTTCCCACTTCTCTCCTCCTGTTGCCACATTCACCAGACAAATCTGAAATCAAACCTAAACACGCACCAACGCCCGGCTGCGTCGGAGTTGGTTCTGGGGACATGTTTCAGAAGATTAATAGGCTGATGATTTGTTTCTTGTGATAGGTATCTCATTTCCTCTCTCGTTTCAGTAGTTACCTTGACTGAGCCACTCTGTCACGGGCTTAACTTCCTCGGTGATTAGACAGTAAATTTTTCTTTTCCCTTTTAAAAATTCTTTTTATTTTGAATTGCGACAATAACCCATAATGAAAAATCTACCACGTGAACCTTTTTTTTCCTTTTTTTTTTTTAAGCATACAGCTCAGCAGTGTGAAGTACGTTTAGTAAACTTTTTTTTTTAAACACTTTTTAAAAACATCTCTGCATTAGGCCCGCGTGAAACTGCGGGTTTTATTTTTGTTTTGTTTCCTTGTTGTTTTATTGTGTTTTATTTCCTTGCAGCTCTGCATTGGGCTGTAAAGGCAGGTGAGTGGTGACATGTGTTGGGGAGGGTTCTAAGCATCCTGCCGATTACCATCCAGGCTATTTTAAACTCTTTAAACAGGAAAAGACTCGAAATGTGAATGCTGGGCTTCCCTGGCTGTAGGGAAGGTTGTTTAAATAAGCGGTTTGTTCACCAGTGGATGGAATACAGCTTAGAAGGGAAAGCACCTTGCCGTTAATTAAACATCCCATCATGTCAGGCACTTTCACTTGCTTTCCTTCATGTATGTCAAGCTGGCCTCACAAGCCTGTGATTCCTGAGATGTGCTGCTCGAGTAGATATTCTATGTTGCTTATTCTGGTCCAACAAGAATAATCCCCTGCTCTGAATCCATCTGTCCTTCAAATACGAGCCGGCCTTCTCATGAAGGCCCTGGGTCTTATAACTCTCCTCAGAAAGCTTCTCTTCATGGAATCTCTACAGCATGTTCCCTGCTGGGAGAAGGTGCTAGCAGGTTCCTAAAGCCTTCCGCTGAGCTGAGGTGTTCGGCCCACCCTCCCGCACCCCTGCTGGTCCTCTGGTCCTCTGCCCCCTCCACCTCTCCCCTCCCCTTCTGAGATGAGCTGTTCACTCTTTCCCCCTTGACCAACTTGAAACCCAATCCAATGTCATGGACTTTCTCAGGTCCTAAATTTTCCCCAGGTCCTCACAGCTCCTCCTCCTAACCCAGAGGCCTCCCAGGTCATCGGTCTCCCTCTGCTCCTTCACCTTTCTCCAGGAGGCCATGGGCACTACAGGCAGACAGTCCTTCACTTGGCTGTCAGGGCCACCAGGCGCTGAGCCCATCCCTCTGAGATCCCCGCTCTCGCGGCTGGCAGAGGTCCGCCTCTCTGTGCACCCCCTGGCCTGCCTGCTGCTGCCTGGAAGGATGATGCTCTCCCCTTACTACCAATGTCTCCCTCCTACTCCTTCCTTCTGTCCTCTCGCCTCTCCTCCCTTCTGGTGGAAAAATTATTTCCCAGAATCCACTTCTTCCCTCCCCTCTTACCCCCTCTTCCTTCTAGGGGCTTTCACGCTCCCCAAATGACCCTCCACTCCACGAGTCTCAGAGCCTTCAGACATACCTGTTTCAGGATCTGAGTCTGCTGCTTCCATATGGCCTTCCTCCACCCTGGCAGCCCTGGGGACACTGTGGTTCCCCTCCCTCTAATGCTGTCTCTGTGGCCATGGCATTCCCCTATTGGAAATCCTTGGATGGCTCCCCATGACCCAAGAAGTTCCTTAGCTTGGCATTCAAGGCTTTGCACCATCTTGCTCCCGCTCTGTCTTGCAGCCTTGCTCTTCTCCCATCACAAACTGCTCACTTTCCACAGCTGCCTGCTGTGTTTTCTTTCCCCTGTGCTCTCCTTGTGCCATTCCAGCAGCTTGAAACACCCACCCTTCCAGCTGCTGCCAGTGACAGCCCCCTAATGCACCTCCTCCAGGGAGCCTTCCCTGCTGCTGCCCATTGGACAGAACCTCTGCCTTCACCAAACACCGAACACCCACAGTTACCCCCTCACAACACCAATCCAGTGACTACGTACTCCTTCGCACTGTTTATTTTGACGCTGCCAGAAATTGTACAGGATCTGGCACACAATTTTGGTACTCCAAAATTTTAAAAAAAAAAAGAAGAAGAAAAAGAAGGTACGTGAATGGATGAAAGCAGTATTCTGTTTTCACGTCTTTGTTTCCCTCGAGCCCTATTTCTAGAATTCTATACTATTTCTGGAATTTACTAAATTTCCTCTAGTGATCACATAATACCAAATGTTTCTAAAGTTCCCAATTCTTTTTGGATAAAGCTCAGTACACGAGGCTCCTTATGCATCTGATTTACACCCGCTCATCACCATGCCCATGGGCAGAGGCACCAAGTGGATGGCTGTATTCCACTTAGAAGTTACCCAATTCCTGCACATCCAGGGTCATCACTGTGCAAACTCTGCAACAGCCATCCCAGGGGCTCCCTCAGGCACCAGCTTCTCCCTTGGGGCCTGGGGGGGGACTGGGAGGAGGGACAGAGCACCCGTTTGCCAAGAGTTTACTGCGCCCAGCCCCGAGGGAAGTGTTTCATGCCCGATTTAATATCAAACAGCCCACGGGGTACACGACCTGCCCCACTCTTCAGGTTAGGAACGTGGGTATTGGAGAAATTAAGCACCTCGCCCTGAGATCCTACAGCCATCACATGTGTGTTTTCTTTTTGTTTTGTTTTCTTACTGAGATATAACTCACACACCATAAAACTCTTTTTAAAGTGTATAATTCAGTGAGTTTTAGTATATTCCCAAGGTTGTGCAACCATCACACTCTCTAATTCCATCACCCCAAAGAGAAACCCCATACCTATGAGCAGCCAGTCCCGTCCCCTCCCCCAGCCCCGGGGCACCTCCCGGCTCTGAGGATTCACCTACTCTGGACGTTTCTTACAAAGGGAATCATACAGCTATTGTCTGGCTTCCTTCCCTCAGCGCAATTTCTCAGGGTTCATCCCCATGGTGGCATGCGTCAGGGCTCCGTTCCTTTCTCTGGCTAATATCCCATCGTATGGATAGACCCACTTAGGGACCCACTCATCCACTGATGGATGCTCGTGTGGGTTCCGCTTTTTAGTTACTACAAATAATGCTGCCATAAACACTCATGTACACATTTGTGTGTGAATAGGCGTTTTCATTTCCCTCAGGTACATACCAAGGAATGGAATCGCTGGCAGCTTTGGGTTTCTACTTTTGAGGAACTGACAGGCAGCTGTCCCATTTTCCATTCCCGCCAGCAGTGCATGAGGATGCGTGCTGCTTTCTGAGGCTGCACCTGCTCCCCTCGCTGGCAGGTGCACCTCCCTCTGCCGTAGGGCCCTGGCACGTGACCTACCTTCAGCGCCTGCTCCTTGAAGTACTGCAGGGCGTAAGCGAAGATTTCAAGCGCCTTGACTTTCTTGCCATTTGCAGCTGTTAGGTCTGTATCCATGGTGAGGTCCTGGTGGGGGAGCAGAAGGAACAGTGAGACGAGCAAGGGGAGACGCGCCTTGTGGCTTCAGGAACTGCTACTTGAGATCTGGGGAACCCGGTGAGCCATATTCCTCTTTCCTGGTATGTGCTAGATGAGAAGAGTGTGTCCCCCCAAACGGACCTGGGCAGCATTGTCTCCCTACTGTGTAGGGGGCCCTGACTGTTCCCTTCAGCCCGTATCTCCACTTCTCCCTCCTTCCCTCCCTCTCATTCGCTCTCTCCTGGATCCTCACGGAGCAGAGGCTTCAGGGAGGCGACAGAGGCCAGGAAGAGAGGAAGGCAGCAGGCACCACTGCTGATGCAATGTACACACTATTTCCACACTCGGACACACACACAGTCACCCTTGGGAGACCCTAGCAGAGGCCCAAGTCATCATGCCAACTCGCTGATGTGCACGATGCTAAACAGACATGAAGCTTTCATTCCCGGATGAGCTGCCAACCAAGTCACCAAAATAGAAGAGCTCCTATTTTAAGGCTTGTGCTTAATCCTCTTGAGAGCACAGCATCACTGCCTCCCTTCCTTGCCAGAAGCTAAAGCAGTCTGGTCCTTGAGTGGAGGATGCTCTGTGAGATGCTGGCTGGACTGGGGTCATTTAAAAAAATGACAGGTGCTCACAGGGCAGGCACGGGCAGAGAGTGGGAGCTAGCATCAGGAGGAATCCCCCAAGGCAGCCCAGATGCACAGGCTCATGATTACCAGAGGGGGAAAAAATCAGCCTCCAGATTGATCTAGGCTGGATAACGAGGCTTTGCCTTGAGAGTCTGAAGGGGCACAAAGCTACTAACCAGCCTCGGGGAGCCCATCAGCTGTCCTGATCCATTGGCATAAGCTCACTCTTCCCAACCAGACACCCCACCCCTGGTGCTCAACAAAGACACCTCAGATTTTGGGAGGCAACTCCTAGGCTCAGAAAGGTGGCGAAGCATCGGGAAGCCACAGGGTCAGAATTGAAAAAAAAAAAAAAAAAAACTCAAAACGGAAGAAATGTCCTGTGCTCCCACCTGCATGAGACCCCTCTGACATTGAACGTCATCAGGTGAAACAGGAAGGCTGCATTTTAGGCAGAAGCCTGTCTGCTTTACCGAGAGACAGCCGGGCTGAGGAGCACAGAGCCCTGGAGGCAGGGCGCTGGCTGCTGGGTTCCTATTAACATGTGTTTTGTCATCTGCAAGCACTTCACAGCAGAAATGAAAGCAATAATACCAGGAGCTAGCAATTGGCTAGAACTTACTAAGTACCCGCGCGGCTCTAAGAGCTTTATGTATTTTGATTCCTTTAATCCTATACCATCCCCGTGAAGAAGGCACTGTCAGAGTCCCTCTTTTACACAAGAACCAGAAAGGTTAAGTCACTTGGATTAAGTATCTTGCAGGTGTCAGAGACAGGATTTAAATCTAGGGCGTCTGGTCCCAGGATGCGTGGTCTTAAACACCATCTCCATCCTGAATTTCTAAGTAGTACTGAGAGCGAAGGAAAATGTGTGGGATGCAATGCTCAAACTGAAAAAAAAAAAAAAAAAATCCTATCCTGTGGTCCAAACTTTCCCCCTGAAGCTTGGGAGAGGGGCCCGACTGATGAAGACGGCTTAGAGTACTGGCACACTGGGAGCAGGGCTGCTTTGGGAGTTGAGCCTCCAATCACCGGGCACCGGATTTCCTGAGCTACCCGCTGCCCCTCACAGAAGGTTTACTTCTAAACTTGTTTTTAATAGCCACTGTCCTGGGTCCCCCAAATGCCCCTGGCCCCCGAGGCCTGCCTTCAGAATCCCCAGATCTCCCAGCAACCCAGCAACTGAAGAGGGAGCTCCTGGTGTGGCAGGGAGCCCCCAGCCCCCTCTGCCTGCACTCCAGCCAGTGTCCACTCTGAGCAGTTTCCAAGGCAAACAAGTGTTAAATATTCTGAGTATCTCTCTGCCCACGTGTGTATCAGAGAGTGCTGGGAATTCCACCAAAGTGTTGTGTGCTCCAGGTCATTCCTAAAATTACAGCAGATGGATGTTAATTTTTGCTTGGGAGAAACCCGAGGGTTCCCTGGGTTGGGAAGACCTCTCCCCTGCCAGGGCTGGAGGACTTGGGCCCAGGGAAGGGCTGGCTTACCCCGGTGGTATGCAGCTTCATCTTGAACTTCTCCAGGTACAGCCACTGCTTGGCCTCGTTGGGATCCAGGTCATGGTAAAAGTCCCTGGCAGCGTACCCGAAGCTGTGGAACTTCCTCTCCGGGGTCAACAAGATGGTGGTCGGGGTCTTCTGGTTGGACACCCCAGGGTCTCCCCCTTCCCATCGCCTGACACCAAGGAAAAGCAGAGGTTATGGGCTCTTCCTTCATCATCCCGGTTCAGGCAGCACTGATCCCAGCACCTCCTGTGTGCACAGTTCTTATAGGTGTGGGTGCTCACAGTAGCCGCTACCGGCGCACTCTGGTTCCACTGGTTGAGTAGTGATCAGAGACACTTCAGTCAGAAAGAAGGAAAGGGCAGGTGCCTGGGTGGCTCAGTCGGTTAAGGGTCTGCCTTTGACTCGGGTCATGATCCCAGGGTCCTGGGATCGAGTCCTACATTGGGCTCCCTGCTCAGTGGGGAGTCTGCTTCTCCTCTCCCTCTGCCCTTCCCCCTCTGCTCATTCTCTCTCTCTCTCTCTCTCTCTCTCTCTCTCAAATAAATAAATAAATAAATAAACAAATAAATAAATTAAAATGTTAAAAAAAAAATGAAAGGAGCAAGCACCAGGTTCTTGCTCGCACCAAGTTCTTGCTCAGTGACAAGGTCTGCTTCAACCTTCCACTCAGCGTTTACGGAGCATCTACTGGGTGCAGGGGCTGGTGACACAGAGATGAAACATTTATGTGTCCACCTTCAGATAACTCACAACCCAGTAGGTTATATCTTTTTGCAGGGAGATGGGGGTCTGGTTTTTTTTTTTTTTTTTTTTTTTTTTTTTAATTTTTATTTATTTATGATAGTCACACAGGGAGAGAGAGAGAGAGGCAGAGACACAGGCAGAGGGAGAAGCAGGCTCCATGCACCGGGAGCCCGACGTGGGACTCGATCCCAGGTCTCCAGGATCACGCCCTGGGCCAAAGGCAGGCGCCAAACCGCTGCGCCACCCAGGGATCCCCCGGGGTCTGGTTTTTTAATTTGCAAGCCCTCAAAGCAAATGTACAGCTGGCTTATGTGGTCTCTAAAACAAGGTAGGGTATACATAAACATACTTGCCTTATCACACGGGAATGAGGGGTCCAGGAAATGCACTCAGGGGTCAGAGAAGGCAGAGGTACCAGATGGTGGGGCAGGGGGAGGGATGCAGGGCTCCGGAGAGACTCAAAGGACCGACAGAGCTGTCAGGATCTTGAAGGAGGGAAAGGCACTGCGGGCTGCTCAGAGGTGGGTGAACCCGGGGCATGTGCGGGGATGCTGAGTGATTGTGTGGGGGTAGAGAAGGAATGTGAGAAATAAGATTGGGAAGGTGTTTGGAACCAGGCTGCAGAAAACCCCGGGGCAGAGGGAACTAGTCAGTAATGGGGGGAGCCACTGAAGTTTGTAGGGCTGGAGCACAGCAGAATCAGAGCTGTCCTGAACTAGACAGGAAGCTGGGAGGCTGAGGATGAGGCTCAGGCCTTGTCTGGGAGCAGAGGTGAAGGGGTTCCGACCAGGGTAGAGGGAAGGCATGGAGGAGGATTAGCTGTCCCGAGGGAGCACCGAGCCAAACGGCCATGGTGGTGAGCAGGAGCCGAGGCACCCAGGAGTCCCAACTTGGGAGCTCAGAGGAGAAAGCACCCTTCACAGAAACCTGGAGCCCTACCCAGGGAGGTGACAGGGAACGTGGGGAACTCCAGGCTAACCTGCTAGCATTGAACTCCCCCGAGGGGGTTGAAGATGGAAGCCTGGCATTCACAGGAGAGATCCAGGAGGAAACAGACTTGGTGCCTCACACTGGGGTGAGAGTGACAAGATGGCAAGAGAGCCCTGACGGGGGCAGTGGGGTGGGAAGGGACTGTGTCCCATAAGGCTGGGTCCTGAAGAGGCAGGTGCCAGAAGAGGAGAGAGGTGAGTTGAGAGGTGAATACAGGCTGACAGAGGTGATGGGATTACATCCTGGAGCTGATGGCAGGGTGAGGGAGTGGGGCGGGGGCTAGGTGGAGCCCCAGAGAAGCTTCCTTCCTTCTCTTAGGAAGAAAGAAGAATAGGAAGGGGAGTAGAGAAGGCAGGTGACTCAGTGCTTTCCCCTCCTTCTCCAGGACCATGGCAGAGAAGCCACAGCTGCCAAGGCAGCCAGGATGCTCTCTTCTTTACCAGGTCCGACTTTGCAGCTGGCTCCCATCCTGCCACTGGCCACACAACCTATGAGAAGCCTCTGGTGGTGACACAGTACACGAAGGGAAACACACCTCTCTCCCCGGCCTGCAGGGTGCCTGGCTGAGCTCACACCTGCTCCCGACATGACATCGTTAAGCATTAGTGGGACCATCACAGTCCAGGTGGAGAGCCAGCCTAGATTTGCCACGCAGATGGGTCTGGAATCATCCCTGGCAGGTTCCCTGGTCAAGCTCCACCAAGATGCAGGCTTCTACCCAGGAAGCCGAAGTCTCCATGACGACTGCACTGAGACCCAGGGATGATCACCTCCCAGGCAGACGCTGGGCACCTGGCGCTCCACACATGACCTGTCACAAATGGACTTTCTGCTACTATTAGAACTGATGTTTTCACTAGGTTCACGCAAAGAACCTCCTGAGTTTTCTCCCTTCCAATTTTTATTCCTTCATTCCTATTAAAATATGAGAAAATGAAACTTTCTCAACCACAATTTTGTCAGTCTGGATCAAGGTTAACATGTTCTGATTGAAATAAAATTCACATACGACCTCCCTCTAGAATCTCTACAAGAATGGAGACGATGTCTCTAGAGGCCTAAACACTGCAGATACTGCGTGGATCCCTCCCAAGCAATTTTAATGTTATTTATGCTCTTTCTGCCCCCCCTCCATTTTCCTGTAAGTCTATCCCTTTGAAATAGTATTTCTTAAAACAACTGTGTAGAAGCTTATTAATGCTTATTCTAGCTTTTAATACCATGCTCTTCTCCCTCCGGGGTTTCCGTCCCTGGGGACAGCAGAGCAGACCTCACGGCAGGTGTCTAGCTGCCTGGAGGCAGAAACCTGGCGGCAACTGGACAAGAGGGCTATGCTGTCACCAGGGTTCCCCACGAGAACCAGCTTTTCGTTATTTCCTAGTGATATGACACCCACGGGTCTCTGGAGCCTCTTAGGACATCTAAACCAAGATTGGGGTGGAGGTCACTTCTATTATGACTTCTGTTTTAAGCAGCACACTCTAAAAATGCATAAGATCTTACTCTGGGAGCCATAACTAAATTCCACAATTGTCAACTAAAGGAGTTCCAAAGCCAATCACCGTGTATGTCTGGAGTCATCCTTGGATTTGGAAAATGAGAGTGATAAACTCCTGGCTCCTGAAGCTTTGAGGGGTCACAACACTGCAGGAGGACCATGCACCTGACTGGAGGAGCCTGCGTGGGTACCAGGGTAGACCAGAGTCCTCACAGGTAGTCCATCACGTGGGGATGCAGAGGACGAGAGGGCATTCTAGGCTTCTGTGTGCATGGCAGGGCGAGGTGGAGAAGGGGAACGGTGTCCTGAGCACAGAAGGTGTCCCAAGAGACCCAGGGCAACTTCAGGCTGACCCTTTAGGTTTACCTGGCTGAAATTCACCCCAATCTGCTTTCTGGTTACTATCATGTAAGAACTAGCACCTTCTCCACTTATATTCAACTCTGTACTAAGTCCTTGACAGGAAATCTCATTTCATGTGCACACACACCCTGTGAGACAGATACCGTCAATACCTCCATTTCACAGCTGAGGAAACTGAGGTTTAGAAGGTCCAGCAATGGCATAAGATCACACAGTATGTGGCTGAGCTGACGCCTGTACCTCCTCCATCATAGATATCCTTTAAGTCAGCACCTCTTGCCCAGACTGCATGTTGGAATAACCCGGGCCAGGTTTCAAACACACTGTCCAGGCCTTTCCCCAGACCCACTGAGTCAAAATTAAACCAATGATGTTACACAGACCAGGAACCTGGAGCCCAGAGATGAGAGTGGTTTACCCCAAAGTGGCACCGCGGGTTTGGGCTGAGCTGAGCCAGAATCCAGGACCCACCCACTAAGTGCCATTCACCTGCTTCTCAAACTAATGCCCCTCCCCTCCCCCAGGGTCCTCCTCCAAATCTGCACAGGTACGGTGCCTGGCGCCCGCACATGGCCCTCCCTGCCCACAGCACTCACCTCATCACGTGGATACATTCTGGCTCCTTGGTGAAGCTGTAGGCATAGCCACTGGACGTGGTTCCAAAGTCAATGGCCACCACCACCAGAAACGTCTGCTGCTCTGAGACGTTCGGGTCAGCGTCATTCTGCAGGTGTACAGAGCAAGGTATGGGGGTGGGTGGGGGCCGCTGAGCCTGGTGTTCTACTCTGGCCAGCTGTGCACCCACTATAGACAGAATTCTGGCTCAAGTGTGCCACATGGTGAGCCCTATGGAGAGGGCAGGCCAGCCTCGGTTCTCCACCCAAGTGGCTCAAGGAGACATGGAGGTGCTCCCTGAGTGGAGGACCACGTTGAAGGGGGAAGGCACTTGCCTACAGCTTGTCTACCACTCCCTTCATTGACTGCTTATGAACATGACTAATTATGGAAAGTCCATCCAGTCTGGAAGGCCAGTAGTTCCTTAAGTGACACAATCGTTCCCTGCCTTCCCCGAATTCCCATGCAGACCTCCAGAACTGCCCAGAATGATTTGCCAGCTGTGGCCTTGCCACATCCCAAGTGAGCACTCCATCTGCTCAGCCGTGTCATGTGTGGGAATAGGGCTTTGCCAGGGACCCTGGCCATGTGATCCTGGCAAGTCGTGTCCCCTCAGGGTCCAGAGCCTTTTCTCAACATCAAGCCAGTTGATGGTCAGGCCATTCCAGGTTTCCAAATCTTTTTTTTTTTTTTTTAATAATGCAGTGTAGACTTTTTTTTTTTTTAATATCCACAGAACTTTGCATTATAAACCAATAAAGTTTGGGTTTGAAGTGTACTGCCTCAAGCAGAGGGTGAGAGCCCCACCTATCTGCCCCCTTCTCACACTGTCCTCCATCCCTGCACAGTCCAAGGTGACCCAGAACCGTCAGAGTGCAGTCAGTCTGGAAACCCTCAGTGTGAGGGCTTGGCCATCGGGGGCCGGGCTTCCAGTTTCCCCAGGACTGAGGGAGTTCCAAGACCCCGAATAAGGTAAACCCAGGAAAACCAAGACAAGCTGGTGCCTCTACCTAGTAGGGCTCCTGCAAAGCCACCCCTCCCTGGAGTGAGGCTCCCTCTGCCCTCTTCTCTGGTCAGTTACATGTAAGTCCCTTGGACAGCTGCCCCACAAAATCCATCTTTTCAGTGGAAGGGTAGGGTGGGAGCAAATGCCCAGTCTCCAGCCCCTTCCTCATCCAGGTTTTCTCTCCCAGGCTGGCTGTTGCAGAAGCAAGCCCAGCCACAGGCCTGCAGACAGGGCAGTTAGCTATAGTCGAAAAGTCGCTGCATTTCACTGATGCACCGGCCAGATGTGGCTTTCCTCTCCCAAAAGGACGGCCCAGTGTCTCTGTGCCCTCAATCTCTAAAGGGTGCTTCCATCCTGACTTCTATGCACCCAGGCCAGCAGCTCCAGAAGCACCAGCCACACCACAAAAAGCCTTTTCAGGCCCAGGGTAGCAAATGGGCTTGGTGGGCTCCCATGGCTAATCCCGGCACAGTGTACTCCCCACCCATCAATGTGAGGGGCTGCCGAGCAGCCTGTCTCGTGACAGCAGATCTAGAAAGCAAAGATAGTCAGCACACACCCCCATACACGTATATACATTTCTTACCACGATATGGGAAGGGGACAGTGGTGTTATTCCTGTGTCCCCCAGACTCCGGGCTGGAGATGAATATGCAGACGTGGGGGCTGTTTCTGAAAAGAAAGACAAAGGTTGTCCTTAGAAGTGGTGTGGGCTGAGCCAGGGGCAGAACGGAGCAGCAAGGCTTCACCGCTGCAGGCGCTGTGGCCCCTGAAAGCCTGAACCCGGGCCTGTTCTGGGTTCTGTTCTGGCACTGTTCTGTTCTGGCTCCTTGTACTGGGTATTTAGAACCACCAAATGAGACATTCCTTCTCTCCCTGTGACCAGCAGGCCTCTCACTATGTCCCACCAACTCCCACTTAGCAGAGATACTGCTCGATCTCCGCATCATTTTTAACCTGGGCAGCATGATGGTGTGCATTGTCTGTGTGCATTTTTTGGGAAGAGTATCCACGGCTCTCAGGTTCCCCACCCTGCCCCACAGATCAACAAGCCCTATTACAGGGATACAGGACAGGAGTGCAGCTTCCAGAAAGAACTTCCTTGTTTAGTGAACACACCACCTCCTCCCTCCCCCTGGCAGAAGGCTACATCACAATGGGGGGAACTCATCTCTCTTAGTGATCCTGAAGGCTTTTGACATTTAATAAGAAAAACCGCAGCAGAAAGTCAGGTAGATCAGCATTCCTTGACCTCGCACACGGGGCCTTACAACAGACATGAGGTCAAACCAGAGAAGAGCCAACAGCAGAGCAGCACCAGCATCACTTTGCTGATTGCCTTACTACTTTTATAATTATGCAGGGACTGAAATTTGTCGTGACACCCTGCCAGAGCCCGGTGGCTCCCCCCGAGGAATGAGCACCCAAGGAGAAGTCACACTGTCCCTGCTGGAAGCTCCACACTGGTCTCGCTGCCTACCACCCCAGGACCGGCAGGGCCAGCAGAGCAGCAGAGCAAGGACTGCGGGCTCCCATTGTAGAGACGATGAGCGGCCCTGGGCACCTGCAAATCCCAGGTGCCATTGGGGATGCTCTGCAAATACTGCTCCATGTAGTACACAGCCTAATAACCTGGTAGGAAGAATGGGTAATCTGCTAAAACATACTTGTGGTCCAGGAAGCCCAGAGGGTGTAAGGTGTCTGAGAAAGTCCTGTCTGCTTCTAGGGGAGGGCAGGAATCGCTCCATCTCCCTCTGCTGCCAAATCACTTTGGTTAATCCCACACACTTACTGGTTTTTGTTTTTTCCTGCTTGGTGAGAACTCAAATAGCATCATTACAGTGGGTGCCAAATGGGCTGAGGGAATGAAATGAATCATGAAAGGGTGAATGTGAGCCTTCAAATCTGCACAGCCACCTCCATTCTCTGCAGGCATCTGGTCTCTCTTCCTGAGGAGGCTCCAGTTCCAACCCCTGGGAGAAAATATACAAAGGCCCGAAACCAACTTGCTGGGCAAAGGACTTCACCAGATATTTCTCCAAAGAAGATACACAAATGGCCAATAAGCATGTGAAAAGATGTTTAACATCATTAGCTATTAGAGAAATGCAAATCAAAACCACAATGAGATACTGCTTTATACTCACTAGGATGACTGCTATAAAAAAGAAAGAAAGAAGAAAGAAAGAAAGAAAGAAAGAAAGAAAGAAAGAAAGAAAGAAAGAGAGAGAAATTTTGGCAAGTATAATGGAGACCCTGGAACCCTTATAGATATCTGGTGGGAGTGCAAAATGGTACAGCTGCTATGGAAAACAGTTTAGTGGTTCCTCAAAAAATCACATATAGAATTACCATAAGACCTAGCAATTCCACTCCCAGGTGTCTACCCAAAAGAATGAAGCAATATTATTGATAATAACCAAAAGGTAGACAAAAGCCAAGTATCCATCAAAAGTTGAGAAAACAAAATGTGGCATGTCTATACAATGGAGTATTACTCGGCTGTGAACCGGGAAGAAGTCCCCAGCCATGCTATGATATAGATGAATGTAGAAAACGTTATGCTAAGTAAAATAAACTGGGCACAAAAGGACAAATATTGTACAATTCCACATATATGAAATATCTAGAATAGGCAAGGTCATAGAGACAGTAAGTAGACCAGAAGTTTCCAGGGGCTGGGAGAGAGAAGGAAGGAATGCGAAGCACCGAGTTTCTATTTTGAGTGATGACAAGGGTCTGGAAACAGTAGTGATGATGGTTGCACAACACTGAGAATGCAATAATGCTCCTGACTTGTACACTTAAAAATGGTTAAAAGCGCAAATTTTATGTTATATATACTTAATCACAATAAAAAGTTTTTTAATTAAAAAAAACTCAACTTGCTCATCTTAGAGGGAAAGCAACTTCTGGTTCCTAGGTGCACTCATGGCTCAGTGCTCTTGAAAAGGGAACAGAGACATAAGCCCAGCTCCTGACCCAGCCGACTCAAGTCCACCTTCTTTGCTAATCTCTCAGCCAAGGGTATCTACCCCCTTCCATAAAGCAAGGGGAATCCTGCTTCTCTGCTAGGGAGTCCAGCCAGATGGTCCTTCCCACCTGTCGGCGAGAAATCTGCCCTGCCCATGGCCCCTTGGGCAGCCTGCAGAGAGAGGCCATCCAGCACTGGGAGCCACCTTCTCTCCACCTGCTACCTGCGAGGCCCGAGGCCATGTGTCCACATTTGCACAGAAGGTCTTGGAAGACACCAAATGTCTAATTGCCCAGTAAATCTGGTGTTGGCAATTAGCAAACAAGCTATTATCCACAGACAAACCATCCACCCCGCTGTCTGCTCAGTTCTAATTATCCCATCACTCAATTCTTCTCAGAGCACGTCCCATTGACTTGCAAAAGAGCATGTGTTGGGCCACACATGGAACACATGCCTCAGGCCCCCAGAGGACTCCAGGATACTCGAGGGCAAGAACCAAGGATTTTCTTGGTGCCCCCTGTACCTCCCCAACCCGGTCCCTTGCTGATTACTCACTCAGCCAGGCCTAGAGGCAATTGAACCTCATGGACTTTCTCTATCAGAAGGGAAAATGCAGCTGTACCATGCAATGATTTAATACTGATTTGCATAGAGGCATGGAGGAGTAACATTTTATAGATGCATGCTAATCATGCACACACGCCCACATCTAGAGCTCTGTATATCCCAAATCAAAGATAACGCACCAGTTAAGGTGTATCAATCCTGCACAGGAACAGAATACACAGAGCCTGTAGGGACAACTTTTTTCTATTATTTAAGTTTTTAGGATGTTCAAGTGGTGCTTACAAATTTGTGGAGAAAAGAATATGGGATATGGAAAAAAAAAATACTTCAGGCCCTGAGGGGTATGGGTGATTTCTAGTGTGCTAATAATCTCAACCGAGCTAGAGAGCTTTCATTCAATAGGTAGGTAATTAGGAATAAACACAATGGGGTCAATGGAATATTATCCATTGATCTATTGATATTTGACAGATCTGAGGTAACAGACAACAGGAAAAAAAAGTATATATATGTTATGTCTATAAGTACAAGGCACCTGCTGCATATCCTGGCTACGGACCACTTACACATAGATAGGCCATAATCCACAGCAAGAAACACCAACTGTCACTAGCTTGGAGAGTTAAAGCCAATGCAATGACATCTGCCCTGTGAATATACCCACCTATATGATATTCCAGTTCAGGACACAGAAGGCCTAAGCACATTGGAACAGACAAGCAAGGCAAAGCTAAATGCCCAACAAGGATAGAGAGCTTTAGAGTACAGGCTTGGGAGCCAGAAAGGAAGCTGATGGAAAAGGAGGCAGGGAGAGAAGACGGGCTGAAAATAGAGATGAGAGCAAGATAGTCCATCAGGATGTGTTGCTGAGGGACCTGGGAGTTTTAAAAAACTTACTCCACTCTTCCAGCAACATTAAATAGACACTCACAGCATCTTCCATGTCAAGCACTAGGTCCCTCTGAAATGTAGTAACACAGAGAGATCTGGTGATTTCACATCACAGAATTAGAAAAACACTGAACATTTCAAGAATGCCATCAGCCACAGAATGATGGTCAAACTGAGGAGAAAGAGACCCTGAGGCTTTCTAGTAAACCAACAGAAAATAGCTGTCGATCTCCTTTGCTCTTAATTTCAGATAATCTCACATCACTTGTGTCTTGAGTATTTACTATGCAATTTTTTTTTAGTTTGTGTGAATCTAAAAATAATTTGGTAAGGGTGTTTCTAGGTTCTCTCAACCCAGGACTCACCTCCCAACACATTCTTCAACCAAATCACTTTTAAAATAATTTTTGCAGCAAGGAGAGGTCTATAAATAAAGGAAAATATCTTTGCAGCAAAGTAGAGGATATAAATAAGTAAAAGTCTGACTCAACCAACAAGTCTCCTGCCACAGGATTTTTTTAGAACTCCAAACCAGATAGTGGAGGAGAAACTAGCTTTTTACTCATCACTGGCTTTAGGGGTTAATATGCATCACTGGCCTAAGGGGTGTGAGAATTAAGACATAGGTTTCATCGGGGTTCTTGTTATAAAATGCCAGACATGTGAAAGTCAGACACATTTTTATTTGCTCCTGGATTTAATGGCTTTAATCAAAGCAGATGTTCTTAAAATAAAAAACAGTCTTGATAAGAAACGTCAAAGCCAGCCGTAATTCATGAACTTGCTTGTCGTTCTCTGCTGAAGACATTACTCAGCAAATGGCCGTGAGCAGATTTGTAGACTTTCTGAGATACATAAAACCAATCCTGCTCCATAAATACAGCATTCAAAAAAAAAAAAAAATGAAGACAGAACCGTAGGGCTGACTTTCTTCTACAAGGCTCTAGGCTCCTGTGAAATGACAGGTGGTCTCAACAATGGTGACTCCTCAGCCTTTCTGAATAGGTCTTCTTTCTAGCTGCCAGATTTATGTATCTATCAAATAAATGCTCAATTTCAAAAGGATTTTTAGGTCTGGTCCTTACAATTTAAAAAATGCAATATATATTTTCATTCCTTTCCCCTCCTAGCTGTGAGATAATAGGTATTTGTTGACAATTGCCTAAAATCAGGCTTTTAAAGGAAGCTCTCCCTTTCTCTCTCCTTACTTGCCCTCCCTGCACTGTCATCTTTGAAA